GATTACTTAGGTAAAAGGCTAGTTACTCTATAATAAGATATATTATATAAATCTAACTTAAGTTAGATTATATTCTAATTATATCTAGACTAAGTAGAAATCTATAATAGTATAACTATATTAGTATACTCTGATTCTCTATAGTAATAGGTAGAGTCCTAATTTAGATAATTATAATAAAGATCTTTTAAACTATAACTTAAATCTTAATAATTATACTTAAAGGATTATTAATAACTATCCTAGATTTACTAAAGTAATACCTAAAAGTATAGCTTCTATAAAGATAATTAAGAATAGCTAGAAGCTTCTTATATATATATAAAAGAACTCTCTAGGACTTACTACCTCTTTATAAAATAAATTATAGAATAGGCATGAGTCAGAAGAGCCTAATAATAAAGAGGAGTTAGAAGAGTCTAAAAATAAAGAGGAGTTAAAAGAGATTAAAGATAATAATAAATAGTAGTTAGATTATAGTAATAATAATACTAGATAAAAGAGAGGAAGGAAGGATGATAATAGCTAGATATATAAAAGATTAAAGTATAAGTAATATAATATTCTATTACTAATAGATATAACTATAGAGGCTTAGAATTTAGAATATTTACTAATAGATATAATTATAGAGGCTTAGAATTTAGAATATATCTAATCTAACTTAAGTTAGATTATAATTACTATAGTAATTTAGATATCTTATTTCTATAGTAATTAAGTAGAACTCTAGTRCCTTATATTTACTTTTATATAGTAAAAAAAATTATTTAAGTATAGTAAATATTAAACTTTAGAGTAGAGAGTAGAGCTATCTTAATCTATTTAATAATATATTTTAATCTTTATTCTCTTCTAATTATACTTTAAGTATAATAATAGTTAATTCTTTATTATCTACTATAAGGCCCTTATCTAYCTCTAGTTATTCTAYCYCTTAATATACTCCTAGTCTATCTATATYAGCCTTTTCTTTATTATAGTTAGATAATACTCTATAAGTAAGTATTATCTAGCTAGTTCTCCCCCCTAGCCTTAAAATACTTAGTAAAAAAGGAAAGAAGAGATTTATATTATTTAGTAAGGAGTATAAACCTATATTCTAATTATAATAATAGGAAATAAAAAGGGCTAAGGCTATATATTCTTAGAAGTAAAAGATTAGCTAGGGAAAATCTTAAGTATCTTCTATATAAATAGATTTTAATAAAGGTGCTTCCTATCCTAATAAAAAGCTAAAAATCTAATATAAGTATTATACTTATCTTCTTCTCTACCCTGCTTAGGGTAATAGTAATTTAACTATAAATTAATATATCTAAAAATTCTATATAGTATTTAAGAAATTATCTTCTTTATAACTAAAACTAGGCAGTCTCCTTACTAACTAGGTATATATTAAATCTAACTTAAGTTAGATTAATACTAACTCTCTAGCCTTTAATTATTTATATAGAAGAGGGCTTTAAAGATTAAATTCTTTAATTTATTTTTATAGAGTAGCTTCTATTTTAAACTATTAAATATACTTAATTTTAGAGACTACTTATAATAGTAGCTAGTATGCATACCCTTAATCTACTAAATTAATATAAAATTAGGGACTAGTTAATAGAGTAGTTAGATAAGATTTAAGCTAAGACCCTTTCCCTAATCCCTTACTAGTCTAAGATATCTCTAGTAGTTAATACTTAGACTAGCTTAATATAGAACTTCTTTCTTATAATTACTAGATACTTTCTTAGCTCTAATTAGAAGTATTATAAGATACTTCTAGGGTTTAAGCTAATAAATATTTATTATATAGATGATAATCTTATATAGGTAGTTATCTCTATACTAGAGAGGGTTAATCTATAGTAGTAAGTTATAGTAGTTATAATAGATAATACTTTAAATAACTTAATAATAATAGATACTATTACTTATAAGCTTTAGAGTAATTTTTAAACTTCTTAGCTTATAAAAATACTCTAGAACTCTTTAGTTATTAAGATTATTAACTTATAGATTTATATTCCCTATCTTACTTATATCCTTTAACTTACTATTAAGGAACTTTTTATATTTCTTAAGATTAAAGCTCCTAATAATAAGATTAAGAGGGTCTAGAATACTAGTAACTAATATATTTAATTAGATAGGTTTATAGCTATACTAAAAAAGATATATAAATCTAACCTAAGTTAGATTTTATACTAATAGTATCTATCTCTAGGTTTAAAAATTTACTTACTTTATTAATACTAGCCTAACCTAGTATAAAAAATTTTACTATCTTAATTTTAATCCTAAATTACTTATACTTTTATAGGATTATAAGACTTAATAGAACTTAATATATATTATATTAAGATATACTATTAAGCTTTACTCTACTCTTACTAAGTTTTTATAGAGATAGGATAGAGATAATATTATTAATCTTCTTTCTTTAAGAGCTAAATAATAGTATATTAAATATCTACTTTAGCTTACTTACTCTTTCTTTACTTTTACTCTTATCTTATCCTAGTTTAATAGATCTATAGTATATAAAGCCTTTAATATCTATAACTCCTTATTTTAATATTTAGAAGATAATTAATAACTACTATAATTAAAGTATATAACTTAAAAGAAGAAACTATAGGCTACCTTATCTAAGATTATTCTAAAGCTATAATAGTATTATAGTAAGATATACTTTATATAGGATTATATCTATACTATTATAATTATTCTTACCCCTTAGTTTAAACTAAAGGTCTTTCAGGAAGATACTTAGAGTAATAATAATATTAACTAGTATAATAAGTATACTAAGGCCCTAGAGAATGTCTATACTTATTATACTATAGTTTTTCCTAATAAAGTAAAGATATATTATATATTAAATAGTATTTCTAAACTTAATTAAATTATTACTAATATATATAAGGGTAAAAGTTAAGTATCTACCTAGCCTAATAATAACTTAAGTAAGATTAATAATTATTTATAAGAAGGTATATTATATAAATCTAACTTAAGTTAGATTTACTAACTAATAGTAGGTCTTATACTATCTAGTATAAATATACTTAAGTATTAGAAATAGTATAAGAGATATTTTTCTATTCTTATATTAATAGCTTAAGACTTCCTAGCTATACCTATTAATAGGGTTAGGATTAAGTAACTCTTTAATATATCTTAAGATATTTATTACTACTATTAAAGTTATCTTCTCCTAAATACTATCTAAGCTATTATAATCTAGATATATACTAAAAATTTTAAACTTTAAGAAGAATATACAYAYATTTAAGATRATATTAATAATAATAATAGAGATATTTAAGAAGAAGAAGAAGAAGGTAGTAATAAGCTTAGAGATAGGCTAGACTATATTAGTAATAAGAAAGATATTAATAATATTATAGAGAAGGGTTCTTTAGATCTTATTAATAATAATATATAAGAAGATTATCTTTTACTATTACTAATATTACTTTAAATAACCTTCTATTAGCCCTTAGTTTTATACTAACCTACCTAACCTACCTAACTAACTCAACGCCAGCATCAACCAGGTTAATATTAGGCTATGAATAAGGGTAGAGATGTTAGTTAGTAGATTAATATAATCTTAATTCTTAATTTATTTAATTATAACTTATATAATTATAAATAAAAATCTAACTTAAGTTAGATTATAGTAGTATAATCTTTATAGACCTTTTTAATTCTTCCTATTAATAATATATAATTAACCCTATATTATAATAACATAGATTTTAGAGAGCTTATAATTAGAACCTAGCCTAACCTAACCCAACCTATTTTTCAACCTAAAACCTATATAGGTTCTCATTCTCAGAACCTAACCAGCCTATAGGTTAGTAATGCCAGGCCCAGACCCAGCCCATCCCAGGTTTGGGCTGGTTTGGGTTCGGGTTCCTGGGTTGGGTTTAACCAGTCTACTCTGTACTACCTATTCCTATGTCTAATTATCAGTATCTTAAAATAATAGATATAAATTTACACCTTAAAAGAGTGATATTTTCTAGAGGAGTAGAGGTAAGGCTATAAGATACTTAGTAAGATAGTAAGGGCCATAGGTCCAAACCCTGCACTAGGAGTAAGTAGAGTAAACTCTACTTAAGTGAAATTCATAGCTAAAGCTGGGAGCGAGCAGAGTGAGCGATAGCCAGCTTGTCTTACATATACAGATTCTAGTCGATGGTTCGCCTGGGCCACCTTCCTGACTGGGTTAACGGGGTGTCCTCCCGTAGCCGCTCATAAGATATCCATTTATGGGTCGCCTTATTACCTGCCCTGCCGCGATAAGGCGTGAGACGTGATCACACGCTGCGTTGTCACAGTTTTCCAATGGACCCTATACGGATGATCCACGGAAGACCACGGTTGGAAGCAGCCATTAAACATGGCTTCCGTCCATTCCATTCCAGAAGGAGTCGTACCGTTTAGGGAGTGTGTATCCGAGAGGACCCGATTTTCTTCATGTTCTTGTAGCATGTTTCAATAGAGGGTGGGAACTGCTGGCTTTTCTCGGGGGCGTGCCGTAATAATCAACCAGGGTGTTCGTATCGAGTCCTCGTGATCATTCCTGTTTCGTATGGAATCCTTGAAACCTTGAATAATGATGGTTCTATCGGCGCCGCCGAATTGGTGGGAATTCCGATATGGTGGTATCGGTAGGTGTGCATCATGAGGATCTTGTTGCGCGTCATGGGGTAGCGTTCAGCCGGCCAAGTGCCAGTGCTCTGATTGAGGAATTGGGTTGCGTCGGGGCGTCGATTTGACAGTTTCCCATTGCTTAACCCAGTTCATCGAGTAGTCACGTCTGCCTAGCTGTAGTAATTCTGAGAAGGACAACGGGATAAAGATATATAAATGTCATCCGTGTTTAGCACCATCATCTCCCTCTTTGCTTCCATCTTTGCTTCTCAGGACGGATCGATCAACTCGTCTTGATTCCCGGGCACTCCCCGCGGTTTTCAACGCTCCGTATCAAAATGAATCAAATTCCTGTTTTCGCCGGCTTGGGTTCGGATGCGCTTTCCTCGGAACGAACTCTGGGGACTGCGGCCGAGGACGCTAGAACGCCAGAGGGCCAGATTATATTACGAGCGTGCCATGCCATCTTTGTGAAAGAGATCACCACTGTCATCCACAGCCAGCGTCTACCCTCGGACATCAAGCTGGAAGACTTCGTGGAGCCGGAAAGCCTCATACAACCTCGGGTGTGTTATCAACGGAATAGCATCATTCAACATGTATCTCTGTACACAATCCAACTTCTAAGATATTTACGATACTCGAAGGAGAAGCCTGGTTCCCTTCTTGGTGTGGCTGGATTTTGTGCCGGATTATTGCCTGGTGCAGCGGTGGCCACGTCCACGAATACCATCGAACTGCTCGCTCGGGGCCAAGATTTCTTCTATGTAGCTCTGCATTTAGGCATCCGGATTGAAAGCTACAGGCAGGCTATGGTGGCCAGAGAAGGCTGTCCACCACATCTGCCCTGTAGTCTGGTTGTTGACGGGATTACAGCCCAGCACGCCCGAGAGCTGCTCGAAGAACACAACAGACGGGTATGACTTGTCCATGATCAGAGAGACCCAAGTGCTGATTATAAAGTTATAGTCTCCTCCTTCTTACGTTTACTTGAGTGCCATCAACTCCGGTACTTCTGTCACCCTGAGCGGTAGAGGTGATCATCTTCAGCAATTCAGCCAAAGCAGTGTGCCCTCCCAATGCAAGATATGGCCAACGAATGTTTTTGCCTTGTATCATGACCGTCATCAGCTCGAGGGAGTCCGAAGGGATGTAATTCAAGACCTCCGAAACAACATACTCTTATCCTCAGCACCCTTACATCTTATTGCCCCACTGTTTTCTAATATCGATGGAAAGCCGATTGATTCTGGCCAGCTGGCAACGTTTGAAGAATTCTGCGAGAAGCTCCTTGACATGATGCTTTTAGAGCCGGTGGACTGGGTAGCGGTTGAGGATAACATCCTTGCTGCTATCAAGCAATCAGCCACCGCCGTGGATGTTTCTTATGAAATTTTGAATTTCGGTCCTGGATACGGCATGTCGGGAGCCAGACATACCCTCCCGGATAACGTGAAAATTGTAGCTGCTTCAATCGCCGAACCACGCGCCTTGCCGCAAGACGCTTCCGGGTTGCTGTCATCTGATGATATTGCTATCGTGGGTATGGGCGTGGACCTTCCAGGAGCTCCCGATACCGATGTTCTTTGGCAAAACTTGGTCGAAGGCGTCAATTCTTGCACTGAGGTGAAGCCCAACAATCTCAAACATCTCCTCAACCGCGTCCCAACTGACTCGAGTTCTCTAGATTCCGTCTTCAAGGTTCCATGTTGAAGACTTTTACCAGAAGCAAGATGGCCGTACTCTAAGAACAAAGTACGGCAACTTCCTAGAGAACCCATTCATGTTCGACAACGAACTGTTTGGTATTTCCCGTCGAGAAGCCCATTCAATGGATCCACAACAGCGAGTCATGCTCCAAACTGCCTATCGAGCACTCGAAGATGCGGGATATGTGCCTGATTCAACCCCGTCATTCTCGAGGAACACGTTCGGTTGTTTTATCGGAAACGCTACATTGGACTATACCGATAATCTTAGAGACGGCATTGATGTCTACTACAGCCCAGGTAAATCATGTCATGCTTGACTCTTATCGATATCGCGGCATGCTAATTGCTTCTCCTTAAGGAACGTTACGCGCTTTTCAGAGTGGACGGATAAGCTACGTCTTTAAATGGAGTGGGCCATCTATCACTTTGGATACGGCTTGTTCCTCGTCGATGGTAGCCATTCATCAAGCAGCACGAGCGATCCAGGCTGGAGACTGCCGGTCGGCATTGGTTGGAGGTGTAAATATCATCAGTAGTCCTGACGTGAGTGAATCTTTCAAAGAGAAGAAACGAAAAGAAAAGTCGTCCATGATGCTCTCCAAGCCAGTGGAGCCACTTTTCTGAAATTATTATGAACTGACAGCGCCTTAGATGTATCTTGGCCTCGATCGCGCACATTTCCTAAGTCCTACTGGCCAGTGCAAGCCATTTGATGATTCAGCAGATGGCTACTGCCGGTCTGAGGGCTGTGCGGCTTTCGTGATCAAGAAACTTGGTGATGCGATATCGGAAGGCGACCGAATACTCGGGGTTATTCGAGGCATTGAGATTAATCAAAGCGGCAATGCGCATTCCATAACGCATCCTCATTCACCAACGTAGGAGTCCTTATTTCAAACTTTACTGAACAAAACCCAAATTCATCCTCACCAGGTGAGTAACAAGCTGTAGGAATTTCACTTCTCCGCCAGGCATCTTCCGCTCGATTGCTATCATCAGATTCTGGCGCATTTACTAATATGTTTACAGATTACTGTGGTGGAAACACATGGCACGGGCACACAAGCCGGGGACCTAAATGAGCTTGTTAGTATTCGTGGTGCTTTTTGCAATGGTCGAGATCCAGGGAATTTTCTCCATTTTACCTCTGTCAAAGCAAACATCGGCCACTGCGAGGCCGCTTCAGGCGCTGCAGCATTGGCGAAACTACTTCTGATGATGAGACATGGCAAAATACCCCCGCAGATATCTCTCAAGACACTCAACCGTAAGATCAAAGACCTTGGCACAGACGGATCCGTCATTGATCGTGACGGTGCTCCTTGGCCTCGACCTTCGAGACACCCGCGGCTTGCTCTGCTTAACAACTTTGGTGCAGCGGGTTCCAACGGTGCTTTGATACTGCAAGAATATTCCAGTCTCAAAGCTCTCCCTCAAAATGAGGAGCAGTGCGAGGCTCACAGCTATATGCTCGGGTTCTCGGCTAGAGGCAACACAAGCCTCCTTGCCTATAAAGATGCACTGATCTCTTATCTGGAGGCTCCTTCGGTACCGCGTTCTCTTCGTGATGTTGCTTATACTAGCACGGCTCGCCGCCAAATCTTTGATTACCGTGTCTCTGTTACCGGTTCCACTATACAGGAAATAGTCGACAACTTGAGAAATGCAGAGATTTACAACATTCGCGAGTCACCAAATCCACAGCCACGTGCGGTACTCGCATTCTCTGGTCAAGGATCACAGGTGAAGCTCCATTACAGTGTATCTGGATTTAAAGATCTAACAAACATTGTAGTACCTAGGAATGGGCCGCGAGCTTTTAACTGCTTACCCCGAATTTAAAAAAGTGGTCCTGGACTGCGAACAATGGTTACTGAGCAATGGATATCCGGGATGTCTCAATGTAATCGCATGCAAAGACGACCAAGAACGGCAATCCCCTTCATCTTCACTACTACAACAATCTCTTCAAACAGCAGTCTTTGTCTTGGAGGTAGCACTAGCACGCCTTCTGATCTCTCTTGGTGTCATGCCGACTATCGTGCTCGGTCACAGGTATGCTTACACACCAGATTCCTCTTCTACAGTTCTATAGCTAATGGGTTACTAGCCTGGGAGAGTACGCTGCCCTCGTCATTGCTGGTGTGATTGATTTGCAAAGCAGTCTGAAACTGGTAGCACATCGAGCAAGACTTATGATGGAGCTGTGTCAACTTAAAACAACGTCAATGCTCGCAGTTAACCTCGGTGCGGAGACCGTGAGACAGCACATTGACAACAGCCCAGAATTCCACGATTTGGCTATATCCTGTGATAACAGTCAGTCTGATTGCGTTGTTGGGGGCCCAATCGGTCAGCTCCAATCTCTGAAAGCAAAACTCAATACGATGAAGACGAGGTCGAAAATCCTCGACGTTCCAATGGCTTATCATACAAACGCAATGGACCCCATATTGGGTCAATTGACTGAAGTTGCTAAGACACTCGAAATCTCATGTCCGAGAATCCCTGTTCTATCGAACGTGTTTGGCCGCCTTATCCGACCCGGCGAAAGAGCTTTCACTTTTGAGTATTTTGCCATGCATTGTCGCCAGACCGTTGCTTTCAACGCAGGCATCCATGAGCTCTCTCGTAGTGGAATGGGGGATGAAATTTCCCGATTGGTCGAAATCGGACCTCATCCGTCTTTGCTGCCAATGGTTCGCACTAGATTGGATAGAGACACTACAGATCTTCTACCTTCATTGCGAAAGGGAACTCCAGCATCGGCGGCAATTGCTCGACTCCTATGCCATTTCTACCAAACCACTACCACGTTGAATTGGCGAAGAGCTTTCGATGAGCGAGCAACCCTAACCACCCTTCCGGCCATGCCGTTCTCAGAGCAAGAATTTGGTATTTACTATCCACATGAGAGTGCTCAGAGAGACTCGGGTGAGTGTGATCAGAATACTGATTCTCAAACTGGGTACGCCTTCCTGTCCAGGATTGTTCAACGTCCATCGGAGACGAATAGGGAGGCCATCTTTGAGACGCCGATTGGGGTCTTCAAGGAATATATTCTCGGTCACCGTGTCTGTGAACATGCTCTCTGTCCTGCATCGGTATACCACGAGATTGTTCTAGCTGCTTCCAAGTGGACACAGCTCGATCAAGGCGAAGAAGTCATCAGGACACTTTCGAATGTGCAATATCCGGCACCTTTGCTATATTCAGAAGACTCTTCTGCAATTGTTAGGGTTTCCATAAAGCCTAGCGGTGACCACAAGGCAGGCTATTCCTTCACTGTGGCCTCATACAACGCAGGTTCGGATCCGCAGCAACAAGTAATTCACTGCCAGGGTCAGCTGAAGGCACGGTCTACTGCTCATGCTCAAAAGTATGCAAAACTAGTGCCACTCATGGAACGGCAAAAGGAACGGTTTCAACGCATCGACCAATCGAGCACACAGGTGTTTCTCCGAAAAGCCATGTATGGAAAAGTTTTCACACGGGTCGTCGCATATTCCGAATTGTATCAGATGGTTCAGTCGGTCCGCATGGACCAAGATGAAGCACTCGCAGTTTGTCGTTTCCCCCATTCACAAGGAGAGCCATCAGGGGCGAACACGGTCCTGATGGACGTCCTCCTTCATGTTGCTGGTTTCGTCGCCAATCTCAATATTGAGAATGAAGAAGTCTGCATCTGCAAGGAGGTCAAATCTGCTACCATGACTCGAGAATTCCCCTTCTCAGACACGACGTTCGAAGTCTATTGCAGCAATCTCGAAATCGCAGCCACCAACGTGATCATAGCAGATGCATATGCTGTCGATTCACGAGGCGTCATTGCTGTCTTCAAGGGTATGGTCTTCCAGCGAGTGAAACTAGCGGGAATGGCTCAAGCTCTCCGGTTGACAGCTGCAAGATCTGGTCATTTACATCAGTCTGTCCCAATAAAGAAAGCCAAATTGGTAGCTCCAGAACCTTCGGCTCCCGACTCAAAGCCTCTTGACATGCCTGTTGACAAGCAACCAGCTATCAGGGAGATCATTGCGAGAACTTGCAATCTAGAAGCATCAAACTTAGCTGCGGACACCAGTCTTCACGCCATCGGTTTTGACTCGCTCATGATGATTGAACTTTCTTCCAGCCTGTCTTCTACGCTTCATACCTCAATTGATATATCGGCTCTGGAGGCGTGTGAGACCGTTGAGGACATTGAGGAGCTGTGCAGCGATGTGGGAGCCACACCTATCTCGGAAGCAGAGACTGTTGACTCTGTCACTATGCCAACAACACCGGCAACGCCTGCGGATAAGCTACTCATTGCGTCCATAATCGCCGAGACATGTGGTGCCCATACTACCTCCATCAAGTCAGATGTGGAGCTCGAGGCTCTTGGGATTGATTCACTGATGATGATTGAGCTGGAGGCCCGTCTGCAAAGTTTATCGAACCCAAAGAAACTTTCATCTTTGGAACTATCCGAACGCAGGACAGTGAGAGACATTGAGACATTAGTAGGTCCATGTATAGCGAACTAGGCAATGGCAGCTATTTAGAGGCGGACAGTGAGGCCCTGACATGTTACAGGCAAATATAGATGACCCAAAACCATTCCAACTTGAATTTGAAGTTTCTTCTCGCTTATCTTCCCGAATCTGTGGTGAAATACAATCTCCAGTACCAGAAGCCGAAAAGAGAGAAGTATCCGCGTCCATGAAGATGAAGATTGCGACCATGCTCAAGTTACAAGAGCAAACCGAAACAGTGCATCTCGCCGAGGTCGGGGCCCCTAAAAGCGCCCCACTGTTCCTCATCCACGACGGCAGCGGCACCTGTGTTCAATATCACCGACTCAGACCCTTCAATCGCACGGTTTATGCCATCCACGACCCCAAATTTCTGGATCCAGATTCCTGGTCAGGAATTCCTGCTATGGCACAATCTTACGCACGACTTATTGCAAGGACAACTTCCAGCCCTTACATCCTCGGTGGCTGGTCGTTTGGTGGTGTTGTCGCATTCGAAGCTGCTAGAGTGCTAATGGCAGGAGGCTACGCTGTCACGGGCGTAGTTCTCATCGATTCACCGCCGCCACTCAATCACCAGCCGCTCTCTGCGAACATCATAGATGCCGTTACAAAAGGTGATAGAAATAGAGGTGGCGTGGTCGGTGAAACTATTCGCAACCTTGTCAGGGAAAGTTTCACAGCCTGCGCAGGTATGCTTGGGGCTTTCAAACCAGAGCCTGTGACGAGTACCAGTCGACCAATTCCACGGACTTTCTTGCTCCGATCAAGGGATGGCTTCCGTCTAAACACGAGCAATGAGAGTCGGGGGGTGGAGAACGCTTGGTTGCAGGATCGCTCCGAACCCAGGACTTCTATTGAGGGATGGGAGATTCTTACAAGGGCAAAGATGCCTTATATGGATATCCCAGGCGATCATTTCCAGGTCTTCGACGCTGCGAATGTAAGTTGCGGGTTACTTTATATATCTGGAGACAGGGGAACATGCTAATTTTCACCCCGTGCGAACAGGTACAAGCTGTATCAAAAGCTATCGCCCATGCATGCAGCGAATTAACAATCAACTCGTCAAGTTGAAAATGGCTGCAGCTTGAGAGATGGCATGGGAATCAGATGATGAGTCTAAATGCATTCGAGGGCAAAATGACTACGAGCTGTCAATAGCGGACTTTGCTGGGTCGGGAATGTTGCTCATACACAATTTACTGCTATAATGTGCCTAAGTTTATTAGCACTTCTATATTATGTTTTTAAGATCTCACGATACTTGTTTATTTTTAAAAAATTTTTGTACTTTTGCTCTATCTCCTGGTAGTTATACTTATAGTATGATAATTTGGAAAGTTATGGTGAATCTGTGCTATCAAGGCTTGGAAATATTTCCCAACCACGTTCTAGCTGTACCTGAATTCCCGCAAAGTCCGCTATTGGTGGTGTTGACTTGGATAGTGAAGAGGTCGATGTGGTTGTTTGGGAAAGAGCCGGAATTGATGGTGAGTCGGCTGGGAGACAGGCGTATTAGAGGGATGGTTTGTTTCATAATGTGAGGGCGAAGAGAGTGTTAGGGTATAATACTGAAAATGAAATTGAAGGATGTGATGAAGCAGTGCCTGGGTAGTTTTGAGGATTGGAGTGCAGGTTAGTGAATCCAAGCCATGGAGGGTGAAGGCTGTTGTTAAGGTAAATATTAAGTTCTTCAAAATCTACAGTCATTTTTCTAAGAATCAGAGCTTTACATATAATTTTATAGGGGTGTGGATGCTATGGTGGAAGAATTAATTCTTTCGAGCGAAATATATATTTTCGATTTTGGTGGGGGGGTACGCAAACTTTTGACGTAGAACTGTATTTAGGAGAACAGGACGAGGAACGCGGATGATTAATAATAGTAAGAGGCTGACCATGCCAGTATCTCTTTTGGTATAAATATCTTTCCCTCTTTGATGTTTAATCTACCTGGCAACTTATGGTGGGCAAGAGATTCAAGAAAATTCTATTCATGAGCAGCTCTGAGATTATATTCACTCTTCCAATTCTGTCAATCAAGTTCTTAATGGACTGTGATCACTTAGGGCCCACATGCAACAACTCCCAAATTATAACCCAGTGCATACAGTACCACTTTCTTGATCTTCAGTCCTACCGCTCCTACAAGCTTCGCCCATTGTTCCTCCGATCGCTCCATCGAGCTATGAAACGTCATCATGGTCAGGTCATGTTGCGTGGACGCCTCATCCACGTGATCAGAGGGCAAAACCATTTCGTCGAGCAAAATAAGAGAATCTTCCCCCAGAGCCGGTACTAGATTACCCAGAATCTTTTTGCTATTCTCGTCTGTATGGTCATGCAATATCATCCGCAAATAGTAGTACTTGGCACCTGTCTCCTAATTAGTCTCAACCAATAAAGTACCTCAGTTGTTTATTACCTTTGATAGGCTGTGGTTGAAAGAAGTTATGCACCATTCGCTCGACATCCTTCGGAACCACCGGCTTTGCGTCCTCGATGGGCTCTGGCAGGTCCTGCAAAACCACACAACCAGGCAGGTTCGGAAATTGCTCCAGGAAGGAGGCAGTTTGATACCTAGCACCACCATCAACATCCATAAACAGAGGCCTATCTGATGGCTAGCCCTTACTTTCCTCGTCAAAGGGGTAAAGGTTGAAGAATTTAGGTTAGGACCCATGTTGTGCTTTCATGGAGTGATTAAAGCAAGTACTTCTCACCAGATCGCCATGAATGAAGGGAAATGTGTGCAAGTTAGTTTTGTAAGTCCTTTGGAAAATGCTGTCTGTGAAAGTGGTAGGGTTCTTGTAACTAGTTTCTGTGAGGTAACAAGGCATTTCTTGATAGGTTGGGTTGCACATGTCAAAGTAGATGTATAATCCAGCCTGAATCTTGGGTCTTGCGAGATTGGATGTATATAGTGTCAAAGTAAAGATATCTCTGCTAGCCTCTTTAATTACTCTAATTAATGCTAGATACCATAGAATACGACCTATCTTAAAGTTAGAATTTCTGGCGCATTAAATCTTAGTTGACTGGAGTTCTGGTACATGCTAAGAAGCAAAGGGTCTGCAGAGTGCTTGGCTGCCAAGGGATCAACAGTCGAGGGCTCTGCGTTATCAAGGATATCATTGAAAAGGTTCAAGTCAAGAGCCGTGTGGATTATAGTAAAGTGACGATTCTAAGCAAATTGATTTAGCTTTAAGGATAAGAACTAGCGGGACAAGGGACAGACTCAAAAGTCTGCATGAGAAATTGAGGTACTGTTGCAAGTGCAATAGTTTGGGATAATTTCTTAGGCTTGGGAAGTATACTATGTGTATCACTCTCTGCATAGTGTCCTCGGGGGTCTTAATGCTGTATTGCAAGTCTTGTAAGGTGTCTAGAAGCTTTTTATGCTCTATATAACTAGCTGAAGCAGCCTCCTGCTGTATCTGGCTTTCCATGGTGAAAAGTCACTTTCAGTTTCTGTACGGCTTTCCAAAGACTTGGTTAGGTAGAGAAACGCAAGAAGTCTCCTCTCTTAATAGCACATCATACATCGTGATAGAAATACTTTGTAGTGCCTTTCCAGTCAGCGGACCAGCAAGCATTCACTGCGAACATGCAGATCTGTCTGTCTGGAGGCTGGATGTGACCAATCGGAACCTAATCTCATTACATTTGGAAAAATGTAATGTATTGGAGGGTCAATGCGTAATTCAGAGTATTTTGCTGTGCATTGCCAAGCTGTGTGTGGTTTTAGGAGATACTGTACTTCACAAATTCAAAGGAAGAACAAGCAAAAGCTAGAAGCAGATATTCCAGACGTGTATATCCTGAAGGAGATATTCCAGAAGGGGAAATTCCGAAAGGGGAAACACCAGAAGGGGAAATAGAGCGGCGAGTGTGCACGCACGCAGACTATGCAGCGCAGGATCCGTAACCCTGTCCTCCATATCTGTCGTATCCCTGACTTCCTTGTTTGGGGAGCGGGAGGTTAGGGATCAAAATAGCGGCACAATACACATTGCACTCACTTTTGAATAGTACTCGAGCCAGCAGGACGTGTGATAGGGCACAAAGGGGGTAAAGAGACCCATCTTGTGAATTGGATAAGTGAAATTGTAGGATGTCGAAAACAATAAGTACGTGACAGATTAGAGATCACGGCTGAGGATTTGTAGAGTGGCAACGAAATAGAAAACCGTCTGCTGGGTTGCCGCATTTACGTCGCCAAATCTATTTATTATCGCAGATTATTTTGCCCTCCACTAAGAGGGAGTAAAAACACCGCTTGGTAGTACATTTAATACCATTTAATACCATCAGTCTGTTCCTACCGGTCCCGTTCCCAACGGGGCCATCCTTATCCACCACCTGCTTGACACTATCCGATGCCTATTGTGGAAGTCTCTCAGCGTCCTTAGTTGGACTTTCTCACCAGGTCTCCCGAACTCCTTTGAGACCCAAATCTCCACCTCCCAGCCGTGGGTGATCCGTAGACGGCGGATATCCCGAGAAGCAACATCATTTGCATGTCTACCCCACTAACATCCATGGCGAGGCACTGACGGTGATTTAAGGCCAGAAGTCCGGTCCCCGGCAGCGTTATTAGTGGGATCTTTTCAATCATTCAGATGGTACGCCAGAAGTCTGCTGCTAGTGTATATATCATCTGCTGCTACATTTTTAAACGTTCAGAAGGTGGGGAAAATGGTACGTGTTCTTACCCTGATTATTGTCCAAGACGTTGACGCCGGTGCTCTCAAGACAGTTGAAATAACTGGGTTACATATCATTATTGTCGGCGCAGGGCTCGCTGGTATTTCTGCTGCAATATCGTGCGCATTAGCCGGCCATTCCGTCACCGTCCTAGATGCAGCAAAAGAACTTGCAGAAGTATTTTCTTCGTCACCCACTTAGGATCAAATAATGACATCGCCTTGCTTAGGTTGGTGCAGGCCTTCAAGTCACTCCCAATGGCTCGCGCCTTCTCAAAATCTGGGATCTTCCTCAAACCATGTGGGAGCAGGCAGCTGAGCCAACACGGTTAACTGTACATCGATATTCTGGGGCAGTGCTGGCCCGTGAGGACGACTTTGATAAGACTATCCGAAGGAAATACGGCGGGCCTTTCGTTGATCTACATCGAGCGGACTTGCAGCAAGCTCTGTACAAACGGGCCCAGCAGTTGGGAGTGAAGTTCCTTCTGAACGAACGCGTACAAAATGTTGATCCCGCAGTGCCGTCGCTAACTACTATTTCGGGGCACGAATACAACGCTGACCTAATAGTTGGAGCTGATGGCTTGTGGTCACGAACTCGAGAATGCTTCCTAGGGACTGCTGATCCCCCCAAGCCGACAGGAGACTTGGCATATCGAATCGTTCTGTCTTTGGATCAAATCCAAGAGCCAGTTTTACGAGACTGGGTTAGCCGTCCAGAAGTCCATTTTTGGATTGGTCCCAGATCCCACGCTGTTGGATACTCCTTAAGGGCGGGCAAAATGTATAATCTTGTATTGCTTGTACCCGATGATCTACCTCCAGGTATCACGAAGCAACCTGGAAATGTCGAAGAAATGAAACGGCTGTTCGAAGGCTGGGATCCCGTGTATGCTGAGTTTGACGGGCCACTTTGCATTCCAAAATCAATGACTAACTCAATTCAAGTCTCACTCAACTTCTAGGCTATGTTAACAGAGTTGACAAGTGGAAGCTTATGCATAGTAAGAGAATCAAGAATTCACTGCTATTACAGTAGACTGACAGTGTTGTATTACAGGAGAGGAACTACCATCTTGGATTAACGAAGCCAATAATTTTGTCTTAATGTAAGTCTATTGATATTATGTTTCTAAAACAAAGTATCTCGAGCCACCAACCAACATCTGGCAGAGGCGATTCCTGCCATCCCATGCTTCCATATCTTGCACAGGGCGCCAATTCGTCCATGGAGGATGGAGCGGCGCTAGGGACGATCTTAAAGTCCGTCACAAAGAAGGAGCAACTCCCGAATGCTTTGCATTTGTTTGAAAAGCTTCGAAAATTAAGGGGTGATGCTATAGCTAGGGAAACATTCAAGCAGGTATGCACTATCTACTATGTCGAGCTCTAACTTCATATCCTATAGACCTCAGGTACACAGACTGACTTCGGAGGCTATTGACTGTAGAGGAATGATTTTCACATGCAGGATGGCCCTGACCAAGAAGCACGAGATGAAATATTCACGTCACAGCTCGGCAAAGAAATTACTGGTGCTTTCCCCAGCCGATGGTTTGTGTCACCCTAGGTAGCCCAACAAGCATTCATTTCTAATCACAAACAGGACGTGCCCCGTTGTCCAACCATGGATATATGGGTATGATGCGATAGCTGAAGCCGAAAAAGTGCTCAAAGGCAAAGGATTCCCCAATATTGAAGCAGAATTCCTGCCCAAGACGAAATTCCTGGCCCAAGTTGAAGTGGTTAAAGGGAATTCTAGAATAGCCAGTTGAGCTTTAGATTCGCCTGTCAAATCCGCAAGAATATTTTTGTTTAGAGATATCCGGCGAGGGGAACGCGATTAAACCTGATGTTATCCTAACTACATGTATCTTCATAAGGCGAATCACGAATCAACTTCGCATTCTCCTTTAATTGAGATGCTGTTACTAAGTTACCGTGTCGAGCTATCTGATAGGATCAGTCAGGATAGATCTCGTCCGCCATTAATGGACCATTCAGCGCTGTCTCTGAAACCCATTTGTATGGGGAAAAAGTTATCTTTCTCTAAAACTTTCAACCTTGGGCTGAAATTTCAAAAATTGACATTTGTTGTCACATCCCTAACGAAGGTTCAATACAGCGATGTCGATAGATCCAGATGGGCAGCTACTTTCTCTTGTCCTCCCTGGAGAATCCCACAAACGCATACCCGTGGCCCTTGCCCACCCCTAGCTCCTCTTCCACGCTATGAATGCTTGTCGAATTGATTTCCAGATTCAGCTCCTTCTTCTCCCCAACCACAAACCCAGGGTCTGTCTTCCAGCCCAGCGCAATTCTCAAGATGTTCCTGATCCGTCCTTCGTTCAGCTCGCAACGTTCATCCCTCGCCCCTTCTTTGCCTCCACGCCAGGCGACGTACCCGTCCGGACGGACTAAAACATAATCGTAATTTTCCCACACGTTCTTAACGTGCTTCTCTCCGGCATCCAGTTGGACGTGCGTCAGCGGCATCTTCATTGCCTTGGCTACAGCTTTAAATGTCGCCACTGGGGAGGTCGCTTCGTCATCCAAGCTGAGGAAGCCATTGCTCGTTTGATAGTCGCTTTCGGCCTTTGAAAAGTCCATCAATGACCACTCTGTTCCATAGAGATCCACGATACTTGTCCGATCATCCCTCAAGAACACATGTGGCGCCCTATGCCCGGGCCTTGTACTTGGCGTATAGCGCCTGTTATCGAATCTCGGCTCCCTCGTCCCGTCACTCACGATAATTTCACTATTCAAATATCTCAGGTCCAGTTCCACTCCGCGGTCGATAGTTTCAGGTCCCACGCTGTCCAGGTGCATTGCTACCTCGGCTCGTGCCTTCTCTCCTTCCTCGCTCTCCTCGAGGAAAATGTCTGTGTTCGGGGCCGTCATAGTACGCATGATCATCGGAGTGAGTTTGCCGATATGGGCAGTACAACGTTCGAGGCGCTGCATCATGTTCGGTCTGCGCTCGTTCGTATATGAAGTAATGAGGTTGCCTCCACCGATGCCTTTGTGTAAAGCTGAAAGACGCCACGCGAGCGAGACAGCGTCTTCTACGCCGCTGTTCATGCCGTAGCCGCCATGTGGAGGGTTCTGATGAGCAGCGTCGCCGCAGAGGAACACACGGCCGTGTCCATCACGACTGACGTAGGAATCCGCAAGAGCAAATTTCGGACGCCATGCATTCGCCAGCATGATTTCGTCGATTTCAAATCTGTAAGGCTTGCCGAGACTGCCAAGGACACGATAGGGGATTTCTTCGGGATGTTCTTGGAGCTGTCTGATTGCGGCAGCATCAGCAGAGCAAGGTTCGTGACAGGTATAGGTGTCGACGTCGTCTTGGTCAATCATAAGGCCGCCGTGGATGCCAAACGCGTGCCACCACTTGCCGAATGGGGAGAGTTTGGTGAGTTGTTTGGACCGGAAGTGGACCATGAAAAAGGCACCTGGCCTTGGTAGAGAGAAATCACCGCCATGTTAGCTGGTAACAATTGGCAACTTGGGGTTTGGAACACTCACAGATGTCTCCCCTTGAGGTTAATCCCGACGCTTTTCCTTACTTTACTGCGGGCACCATCTGCGCCAACCAAGTAAGGTGCTCTAATCGTCTTTTCCTGATTGTCCATCTCACTGACAGTAGCAGTGACCCCCTCATCGTCTTCCTCAAGCGATACAAATTTGTAACCAAAGTGACTTGTAATCAGGGGTTCGGCGAGGCATTTTTCCTTCAAGAATGCTTCAAGCACTATCTGCGAACAACGCTGACCAGGCTCGGCAGGCTGTGAGCCATCGTTATTTGCGTGAATCTTGGCGCGATATCCGTTGTTGCTTGGGACATGCTAGCAGAAGATGTTAGTGTAGCCACGTGTGGAAGCTAAAACTTCTTTTCAAGTCCGAAATCACTTAAACAAGACTACTCCTCAAAGGGCTATCCTTCTAGTGTGACACACATACCCATCGACTAATGAGCTTCTTCTTCAGCCCGCAAGTGTTGAAAAAAATGGTATCAAAATCGCTATGCTGTGGTACAGCCCCGGGTTGTTGTCGATAGTCCTCCACAAACCCCATTATACGCAAAATCTCCATAGTATGACAGCTGTTGTAGTCCATCTTGGGCCACCGTGTCGTCTCGGTACTCATTTCGCATAACGTGCATGGTACCCCCAGCTGTGCCAGCTTGAGAGCTGTCAACATTCCAACCGGGCCCCCTCCTACTATGAGAGGGCCTGGGGAAAAAGTCGTGTCTTCTGCCTGGATGGAGCCCATTGTGGAGTGGTTGGGAGTAGGACGAAGGGCGTAGTATACAGAAACATTTACAGATTGATATCTCTAGAATTCGCGCCTAATATCTATATAACCTGAGACTTTGAACAGACCTTTCAACACATAGCTAGTGCTCATGGCTTTCTACCTCTACAAGGAGAAGATGGAATCTAACTCCTGCTGGAATCGTATCCCAAAAGGGTACAGATTTTTGCCGGCTCCGATTGGACGTCTACGAATTGGCCTTATCAAGCGAATCCGACTACGGGTTACAGTTGAACGCCTAATTTTGTAAGAGATTACGTGGGGCCGGTCAATCACTAAGGTACGGCTAGACTGGCTGTGGGTTGGATATGGGTGTACCCACAGCATATTTTATCCAACCCACATGGGTTTTGGGTAAACCATTAGGTATCTCACCCACCCTCATATCCACATGGGTTGGGTGGTGGATATCCATAGATATCCATACTATCTAGTTAGGTGACCTCTAGTATTCAGATTTCCACCTCTTTTTCTAGTATTCTAGCGACACTACTAAGATATTTATATATTTTATTAAGTTATATAATAGTGAATTATATAAATATTATATATTACCTATTATATAAGCTTAAATAAGCTTATATAGGGGGGTAGAGGTACCTCCTAAGCTTAGATTGAAAGGTGGTGCAGAGATATATATATCTTACTACTACTATCCTAACTACTATTCTCTAAAATCTAAAAATCACTATAACTCTAGCCTTTGTTAGTAGATCTAATATTCTTTTTATATATAGATAGATACTACTATTCTCTATCTATATATATAAAAATAATTACCTATCTAGGCCTAGATCTAGCTAGATAAGCTTATTAGTTTAAGAGACCCTAGATCACGTGCACCTAAGTTAAACCCAATGGTTAACCCATATCCACGTGGGTATAGTAGGTTTAACCCATATCCACATGGGTTGGGTTAGGGCCAGCCCTTATCCACCCAAACCGTGGGTTTGGGTGGGTTGGGTGTGGATTTGTGGGTTGGGTAAGCCAGTCTAGGTACGGCTAGGCTCCTTCGGGTTGGACTTTTCATATGGACAAGAAGAAGCTCCGGCCACTAAACTGTTACACGCGTGGAGCAGCTGAACGTACTACTACTAACCGGACCCCTACTAGGTAGTTAGTCATCTACTAATAGGGATCCACCGCCTAAATGGATGCAACTCCGGCTCGCCCTTTTCGATCCGCTGTAATCTCGTACTCTGCCGAGTGCACTACACGGGTGAGTTCTGGCCGTACTGCCCGGGACGTCCCGAACGCGCGGATCGCGCGGGCCGCCATCCACCCGCCATAGCTATGGTGCTATTAGTAATTTAGTATTCTGCTTATAAACGGCGTAGTCACCGTAGACCGTGAAGTACAGTCACCAGAATGCCCGACTCCACCATGTCGTCGTCCATCGGCACCCAGCACGATGAAGAGAAGGCCATACAGCCCCCCGTCGTCTCTGAGAGCCCTGCTCTGGAGTCAGCTCTCCCACCAGAGGGCGGCCTTCGAGGCTGGCTATGTTGCGCCGGCGGTTCCCTAGGTCTGTTCACTACCTTGGGCTTCTTGAACGCGTTGAGTCCTTCCTTCCCCAAAAAAAGCTTTAAGACCCAGTCCTTTTGCTGACCTGGACAGCATTGGTATCTTTCAAACCACCTATCAAGAGACTCTCTTGAAGGACTATAGCCCTTCCGCCATCTCATGGATCTTTACAATCCAGCTTGCCCTCATATGGGCTCCAGGTACCCTATTCGGCCGCATTGTAGATACCTACGGACCGCGCCCGGTCATGCTCCCGTGTACCTTTCTTTGCCTCTTCTCGCTGTGCATGACGAGTCTTAGCACCGAATACTATCAGATCATCTTGGCGCAGGGAATTGGTTATGGACTCGGAGCTGGAGGTATTTTCACCACCTGCTTGGTCTGCGTGAGCCAGTGGTTCGTCAAGCAGCGAGGCCTTGCTCTGGGAATTACTATTGCGGGTAGTAGTATTGGTGAGGAGCAGACTATCCTATCAGTGTTCTATGACGTGCTGATTTGATGTGTGACCAGGGGGCGTGGTATTCCCGATCTTTTTGCATCTGGTTATGGAAGACGTGGGGTTCAATGGCATGGTACGCTACACGGCGCTGTTCATCGGTATCGCTTTAGTCGGCGCCTTCTTTCTTCTCAGTGCGCGCCTGCCTCCCAAGAAATGGGACTCGGATCTCGCATGGATTGACTTCAAGCTGTTCAAAAACCGAGGCTTTGCTTTCTACGCCCTCGGCTCATTTTTGGTGATGTGGGGATTATGGGCACCTTTCGATTATCTTCCGAGCATGGCCAAATTGTCGGGAATGTCGGATTCGCTGGCCCTCTACCTGATCGCTATCTTGAAGTAGGCTATGTTCAATCTTGTTGTCCCTAGCAGAGCTGACCTGAGGGGCAGTGCTGCTTCAATTTTCGGACGAATTATCCCCGGGCACATCGGAGACAAGGTGGGATACTTTAACATCATAGTCGCGTCCGCCTTCTTCAGCTGCATGGCAATCCTTTGTCTATGGCTGCCTTTCGATTACCATGCTTCAACTGCCGGCCTCATCGTTTTTGCCGTGGCTTACGGCTTTTTCAGCGGCGCCTTCGTTAGCATCATGATGCCATGTTGCGTAAAGTCCGGCAGCCTAGAGACCCTGGGGAGACAGATAGGTACTTATCAGGGTGTTATAGCTATCTCGTAGGTCTTCGTTGGCCCCATCTATTTCTTTTACTGTACTGATATCTAGCAGCTCTCTAACTGGCCTGCCGACCATGGGAGCTATCTTGGGAAGGCAGCATGGTTCAACCTATATGGGCATGCAAGTATTTGCCATTGTGAGCATGTTTCTCGGTTTCGTGTTCCTCTTGTTTTCTCGTAATGTCCTGGCTGCGGCTCACGGAACATGGAAATACTGAAACTTGACGATCCGCTACGTCGTCGAATTTATGCGAGACAGGCCCTGCCAGGGTGATTATGGCATGTTGAGCTGGATGATGTCCCCGTCCCGGACCAGGAATTGCATAGGCCTAGCTGCCATGATGTAGATGTGGAAGACGATGGTTAAAAAGGAACCGGGACAATACAGCAAAAAAAGGCTTCGCGGCCAGGCATCAGAACCCAATTCAGAACACAGCAAGAATAATCAAGGGGAAGACAGTGGGAAATGCAGGATAAGGTTATTGTATTACTTCGGTGATCTAACTGCATAGGCGATGACAAGCGCAGTTCCTTTATGTTCTCTGTATTTACTACGGCGTTCTGCACGGCTCATATTCTTGCTTCGGACGAAGGAACCTCCATAGCTAGACACTCACAGTTGGGCTCCAACAGGTTAATAGAAATATTGATTGATAGAATACTGAAACTGTACAAAAGTTAGACTTTACAACATACAATTTAGGAAAGTACATGAGGGATATCCTATTTGGAGTGCGCTGTGGCTTTCATGGCGAGCACTATTTGACGCTGCCTGCCGCCATAGGATATGGGATTGATAGCTTTTGTATAACAAATGATGGCCAGAGAAAACCCAGCAATCACCCATATGTTGGAAGGTGCGTCCAAAGGAATATCACTTAGTTTCATTTACCTCCAAGAACTCCAGCAGTCTGCGCGCGACAGCAGATGGCTGCTCTTCAGGGAGAAAGTGCCCACAGTCATGAATAGCGCCCCCGGAAACATTAGTCGCGAAGTTTCGGACCAAATTAATCATACCCGAACAGACGGAGCTGGCGCCCCCTAAAGCTAAGACAGGGATATCGAGTGGTGTCTTTGCATATTCCAGATTCTGTTTCGCACTTGTTCCAAAAGCTCGATAGTACTCGAACCCCCGACTCATCGCTCCTGGTCTTGAATAGGCTTGGATATAGCGCTCAAAATGATCTTTAGATAGACCATCTGCATGGACGGCCTTCAGCTTAAAGAACCAGGTCAGTAGCTCCCGCTCACGACCGCGAGTCAGAATTTCGGGTAATTCAGGAAGCGCGTTGAATGAGAATTGCCAAAGACGCATGTTGGTCGGCTGAGGCAACGGAAACTGAAACCGGGGCAGGAAACCCGGCACTGACGCGTCCAGGATGCTGAGCGATTTGACTCTCGATTGAAATTGAGCGGCCCACGGATAGGCAATCCATCCACCCACATCATGACCAACTAGATGGTACGGTCTGTCTTGCAGGAAATCGTGAATAGCTTCGGCCATGACTTTGCTCACGTTCGCAGTATCATAGCCATGGAGGGGAGGAGGCGAATCACCCAAGCCCGGGGGGTCGAGCGCCAAAAACTGATAACGTTTTGAAAGGGGCTCGAAGATACCGCTAAACGCCTCTGCTGTTTGTGGCCAGCCTGGAATGAGAATCAAAGGGGGACCCTGGCCGCCAACTATGGCTCGGACTCCGTGGAGGAGACGTGTGGCTCGCCATTTTGCTGTCATAGTGTTGACGTCGCCTGGGTCAAGTGTACGGATGAAGATTGCGAAGGGCGGGCAATTGTAGGCACAGTAGTTTCACGCGTGTTCGGGTTCTTCGGCGGCTTGATATCATTTTGTAATGAGTCATGGAGCAAGTGATGAATCAAGTAAGGGGTTATTTCAGGTCCACGCGTACCCACATGAACCGCGGTGGATTCAAATCTATGATGGGCAAAGGTCGCCTAGTTTCTATATGGCGCTGGGTGGGCCCCTGGGAAATAGAAGACCAGACACAAACAGCCCTGTAAATAGCGATGTGATCTCTGCTATCAGAGCAGAGAGCTGTTAAAACACACCCCTTGTCTGATAGGCTAAGCGCAGTTTCTATATCATAACTCGATTTCTCTCTATTGAAAACCCTACTAAAATTTAATTAGGCTTGGTAATAAGCTTAGCATATGCTAAGCTAAATAGGTGTTATATATTTTAATACCTGCTGGCCTCTCCACCAGACACTGCCAACCTTTTTCTAACATAAGCCAGGTAGTGAGCCACTCAACTGACCTGTTAGATTAATCACTGAATGATGGTTCATTCTACCAGTCATGAAGCAAATATACAAATGTACCCTGTACTATTCTTGAGACTACTGTGGATTGCTTCGTACCTGATTCCGCCGCTTCAACTCAACCACCCGATGAGCCGCCAAATCCTCGACAACTTTATTTGCCAGCTTCTTAAAATCCTCCTCGCCGTCCCCACACTCATCCACGGCCGACTGAATAGCCTCGCACTCCCAGCACAGGCAAATATGATACTCCATGCCAAAGTAGTCTCTGAACAGCAACGACGTCTCGTCCGACAGCGTCCGCAGCACCCCGGGCGGAATGGTATCGTCGTGGTTGATGAACCTCCCTGCCCGTTTTGCCATACTTGCTTCGTACACGCTCGCCGAGCATTGATGCGTATGCCACACCAGGTCGATGTCCAGCGTTGGCACCAGAGTTGTTCCTGGGCGGAGTTTGAATAGCTGTAGGAAGTACTCGTAGCGTGCGATCGCTCTGGATAACGTCCCGTAAACGCCAGGGCTGCGGATCCAGAGGTATCCAACCATCTTGTCAACAAAGACGCGTTGGCGCTCGATAGCTGCAAATAGGTATGTCGCGTATGGGCCTGGGTAGGCGGCTGCGTGGCAGGCGACAGCGAAGGCGCTGTGCGGTGACTCCCTCTTCTCCCGACAGAGACTGTCGAGCTTATTCAGGTAGAGCCTATTCGCGGGTGCCGAGTCCCGGTAAGCGATTAGAAGAGAGGTATAAGGCTCAGGCTTGAAGCTTAGAAGGTAGGCCAGCAGGTCTGCTTCCTGGCCAGTCAAATTCGTAAAGTTCTGCCTTGCCTCGGAGGGCAGGCTGAAAGTCCAGTCTTTGTCATTGATGCATTGGTGCTAAACAGTCAGCTTGCACTACAATTGAGGACAGTGACTTACAATTTTGCCCCATGGAAACACCACCCGCCGCATACGCTTGATCCCACTGGTCTGGCAATACGTCCTGAACCATCCCGGGTTCAAAAGGGCGGAATGCCACGCAATGAGTACATCTAATCATTAGCTATTGCTCTAGAATGGACGGACAGCATACCTAGTGGAGGACAGGCCGGCAGCTCAAGGACTTCATTGTCATTCACCGCTAACGTCTCGTCCATCTTCTTCAACCAGAGGAAAAATCTGGCGACTCCCAGCCTGAGATAGAATGGCCATTTGACCTGCCGTTTCTGCGCAAACTTGTGATCCTTTACCTCGATCTTTTCCCGGGAGTATCGTTGCACCACTGTCCGCTTCTCCGGCTTGATGTCAAGAACCGCGTCCAAGTACGTCGAATTGAGGACTTCACGACGGATATGGTTGATCGCCTGCAACAGTTCCAAGTGCGCGGCACATTGAGCGATGCTGGGAAGGGACATGGAATCTGTCCATGCAGGCAAATATATATCCTTGAAAACCCTAGGATCGGGGACTTGTATGTCTTCATTGATGTTGGGAAAATTATACTTTTGAACGGTGTCGGACGCCAACAGCGAACTGAAGCGCCCGCTATTGCGGTGCAGCTCTGTCTGCGATGCCGTGCATAGGATGGTCATTTTTATCGTGATTCGCAAGACCGAATTCTGCTTGATCCGGCTCCAGTGTTACATACTCAATGATATATGCCTTTGCTCGGGCCCCTCTAATAGTCAGTTGATCATATTGAGCCTTGCCAAGCGTGAGGCGCAGCTTGCCAGCAATTTGATGTGCCGAGCGGCTGAATCTGCCTTGGTGCCGCTGAATACGAGTACCGCATCCTTCAGACTCGTATAGAGCACACGTGAGCTGCCACCTGGGCGCAAGGCTGACTGATTGTATGATGCTTCCTGGATACTTTGGGTCCGGTGCATCAGAAAAAGTTATAAAAGGTCATACCGCACTCCACAGTCATTAATCACCACATTAACATACCCAACTCATACGTATCCAATGTCGCGGCTTTCCCGGTTATTCGACAAGACTAAACAAACTCAACCTGTTACCTCGGAGGAACCAGACAACTTGGCCTGGACCGAAGTCGGCAATGCCGCCGACCATCTCCTAGCAGAGCTGGAATCTCTCTACTGGACTGGTGTCAACCAAGAACTGGACTGCATTGTTTCCACTCTACGACAATGGCAGCAACCCCAGTTCCAGCATATTCATTCGGACGCAGACAATATACTGGTCAACGGCTTCGACACCTTCATCTCCAATGTCCTCCAGCGGCCAACCGCGACACCTCCCAAGCTACCCTCCCAAGCATCCAACATGATCACCGACAAATGGCTCCTGGTCAGGAGCGCAGAAATCCGTACGATGGAGCTGGCAGCAGCAAAGATCAGGACGAGGGTGAACGTCGACGTCCATAAATGCCTGGCACAGCGTCCTGTTGAGACAGACGCCGCTAAGAGACGAGCACGGTTGCTTCTCCAAGCAGCTGGATTCTTGGATATCGAGCAAACCATTGAGCATTCACCAGCGGGAAATACGCCCAGTTCTCTCACTCCGCAGTTACGAATGACCAAGAAAGGGTTCAAGGGGTGTCCGGCCGTCTCGGTCCTGCCTTGCAGTGAATGCAAGCGCGTCATCCGGGGGAGTATGTTCGCAGCCAGTGGCGGGTCCACCCAGACAATCTGCGAAGATTGCTACTGGGAGCACCATTACGGAGACCCGGCGTACATCAAACGATACAAGCATTCCATTGCGTCTGATGTTGCCGCCGGTGTGAGTAAGCATGCTCGCTGCGGTTCATGTCGAAGACACCGGAATGAGATTCAACGGCCATATGGGCTGCGAACTAAAACAGGGGTGCATATGTTGGCCGACGCAAAGTATCTGAGCATCAAGGAGGCACAAAAGAAATCAGGTCTTTCAATTCGTCCGACTCCCTTGGCCAAGGTAATTCACAAAGATCACAACAGTCGGCCTGGCATCTACTCTGCCGCTTCGAGGTCTGGGGAGATGCGCCTGGTTGGAGACGAGTGGCTGTACAAGGATTTCGTCCAGAACCCATGGAAGAATATTCGGGTGGCCGTTCGGATGGGACCACTTGTGATTGAGAACGGCAGTAAAGAGTATGTCTCCTCGGCATGTAGGTGAAAGTGCTAATAATAGCAGGAGTCGAAACGGGGCCGGAATATCGCTTCGCGATCCATTATTCGGACAAGAGCAGCAAAAGTCGGACCTCGCTTTCCTTGCCATCTGTGGAGAGACAGAAAGACAGCTATGGCGCCATGCCAGCGCTCGTCCACAGAAACGGAAACGCTTCCAAGCGGTGCTGAAGCAAGTCGTCGGGACTCCTTTCACCGGCTGGCCGTTGTCGTCAGCAGAAGAGGAGATCATCGAGCTGCTGGTGAAAGTGAGCAGTGACAGCGCCGAGGGTACACGCCAGGAACTGCACGAGAGAGTCAAAGCATGCCTTAGTCCATGGGTGTCGGTCTACTTCAAAAGTATTGTGGGGGGGTTGCTGGACAGCAAGACCACTCTTGCATGGGACGGATTGACCAATAACTGCCAACAGTTCTGTAACTCGCTGATCGACTGGCAAGTCTTTGGACCACTTCTCGCTCAGTCTTCGATCACTGGCTCCGACAAGGACCGCCCGCAGCCACTCTACCGCATGAGCTTCCTCTGTCGTCCTCGCGCAACAGAGAATCCCTTCGAACACCCAAACAACATCATCAACGCCCCATACGGACTGACAGAGGAGTATATCCGCCGCTTTCACTTTGGGTGCTACACCGGCCCGGACCTGATCGATTCACTGCACGAGTACTGGTTCGACTGGGGCGGCTTCAATAAACACCTCTACCCCCATCAAAGCCTCTTCCCGTGGGACTGCACCGAAGCTCTCAACCGCTACCCCGTCAAATGCGGCAACTGCACCCTCTCCAAGCACGTCTGGGCCTTCCCCTTCGACTCCTGGTCAATCATCGCCCTGCACCTATCCAGAGACCAATTCGCGTATCCCCCCTCCGAACTGAGACCAAATCCCACCCGCGAAGCGTCCTGGATAAACCACCGCCTCACCCTCCTCACAGCACTGGACTCCCTCTCCGCCGGCGCAACAGCCATGTCCCAGAGCCCGCACTTCCAGTCCGCAACGCAATGGCTCCACATCCAATCCGACCCATCAGCCGACCGAATCAAACTAGGGGGTATCAACCGCGCCCAACCATACAGCCACGCGCTGGAACGCCGCACCCACGACGACTTCTTCGTCGCGAAGTGGGTTTCAGATCATAGGTCTTCCGTTCGAACCTATGAAACCCTGCGGGATAAGCGGTACTTGCCGCGGACGGCGCAGGAAAGGGAACTGGTGTTCTGGGGCCTTGAGGGGCAGGAGCCGCCGGGGGAGTATCCGACTTGGGCGGTGGAGTACTCGCAGGTTCCGAATGCGAACTTTTCCGTGTCCGTCAGTGTTACTACTGGGTGTGGAGCTTGTGGGACGCAGGCGACTGCGGCTGCTTGTGGTACGAACTGTGGTGCAAGTTGTGGGAGTTGTGGCGGAGGCTGTGGTGGCGGAGACAGCGGAGGCGGCGCGTGTGGAGGAGGAAGTGGAGGGGGAGGAAGTGGAGGAGGTTGATATGCAGGTGTTGGTATGTCTGGAGAGTTTCAAAGTCCGTCCACGGTGTCTCATAAGATTGGTTTTTGTATAGGTTCAAAGTTCGCTCGAATTGATAGCATATCGGCTACCATTGGTGGGACGAAACATGAAAAGAGGTAAAATAGAGATTTGACTATCATGCACTGGTTGCATATTGTCTGTGTTACTGCAGCATGTAGTAATTTGGCAACTGGTGTAGCTTCGTAGGGGCGATTTTCTCAGGCACAGGCTTAATGCTGGGTAGTTTAACAGTCCATGGTCAACACTTCACACCATTTTCATTTTTCTGTATTTTGTTATTGCTATTATAATAGTCTAGTCAAGGATTAAACACAAAAGGGAATGAAACCGATGCACACTCTGTTCTTACCATATATTAAGAAACTATTGTATAATGGGGTCGTAGACAATGCAGGCAGAAGACGGGGAGTAGCATTATGGCCCAGAAAGACTTCTTGTGTGGTGCTGTGTGGCGAAGCTGATATCACTGTGATTAGTTTAGTTAGCATGTGACAAGGTTGTAGACAGAGAGTGCATGCTGCAACATGGCAAGGGACCTTAGCCAGAAACACTTCCATTTGTTTCTTGACATGACAGAAAGTACCTAGATCTGGGTTACACAAGTGCGCGCTGGAAACAAAGGATGATTGACTGCTTGTAGAGGTTCATTCTCTAAATTATGGGACATAATGTTCCAAGTTAATGAAGTTCATTTCATTGTGCTTGTACTACATACTTTTCACTTTTAAACACTATAATCAACAGGATTTGCTTTCCTAATGTCTGATCTTACATAGGCTCTTAGCTCCTAGCATAGTGAAAGCTCAACTAGGCAATTCACTTTCCCCCCCAGAATTTGAGTATTTGTAATTATCAAACATATTGACAGGAGCAACGTCACCAAGCTCATACATACATGGTTCATATTGGTGAGATTTTGTGGTCAACTGTTTAGGGTAAAGGATAGCAGGCATGTAGCATCATAGCCGCCCAAGATTGATTCTGACAACTTATAATTGGCTATATAATGGGTGGGTAGTTAGAGCAGGGTACTATCAACTGGTACCCTGCTGATCACGCCATCATAGACTAGTGTTGAATCAGTGAAGAGCAAGGTATCCATGCTAGTTATCCATGCCATGCTCTCTTAGATGTATGTCCGTTGTTGTTGGAGGGTCAGCAGTTTCTGCTTTCTCAATAGGCTGTTTTAATAAGACAAGGCAACAGAAGACTAAAGCACTACTCTTGTGAAAAGCCAAAGTAGGAGAAATATGATATACTTGCAGCTTGCATATTCTAAAGTATCTTAAGCTATTGTTTGTGTGAAAGATTTATTGAATGATATTTTAATACTCTGCCTAGTAATCTGATAGTAGAAGCCCTAGAAACTCTTCTATTTAGCATAGAGTATACTGACTTTCGTAAGCCCCTTTACATATTAAATATTAATCAAAAACACAACTATGCAGAGCGGGTGCGAAGGTGCAGCGCAACAGCCATGAAAATTGCGCATCTTCTCGCAGGCTAAGCACTGGTGGCGTATTTGAATTACCTGACGCCGCCGTCCAGAGCGGAATATGAGCGATATCGGCGCGGAGGGGAGGGCTAATACCTCCTCAGTGTAATCTAACCAACCAACCTTATCGATCCATGGTCGATGTGGAGAGTCAATGGCCTGATAGTCTCAAGCCCGAACTTTGTCGTCCCGATACGAGGATCGGAAGCGACAGTCGACGAGCAATGGATTGTTAGGAGGGAGAAAGGCGTGATAGTGTGCCCTACGGTCAGTTCGGTCAATGCAAGTAGTTCAAGCTGCTGGTGTTGCAGGGCCCCGCAGTCGGAATGATACCACCGTTCACATGCCAAACTGCAGAGAAACAGGAAGATTCTCGGTGAATATATCAGGGAAAGTGTTCGGGATGTGACCGGCTCGGCCAGGGCAAACAACTGTCCTGGCAGCCATTTGGCAGCAGAGTTCAGCCACCAAACGCCGAGACACGAGAAGAGTTCCAATGGGAGAATCCTCGGCGGAAATATTGGAGACCAGCCAATCATCTTCTCGGGACGCAGTTTTGACTATGGCCATTTCTCCGGAGGATAGTCAATTCCCCCAGTCAGACTCAGCAGACACTGCGCGACAGACCGTCCGCCGGGCCGGCGTCGCAGAAACTGGGGGAAGCCGAACGATGGTCCTCTCCCCATGGGGATGCACGTTATCCACAACGGGCCAAAACACACTTTCCACGGCGACTATGCCCCGATCCATCTGGAAATATCCCTCACCGGGTGACGTGATGAGTAAAGTCGCCTTCATGACTTTGGTTCTACTCTCATGGCTGGATCTAGGCCTCGCGTGATGGACAGGGACTGGTGTGGCGATTGCACCATGATTGAGTCTACAAAGTTCTATCCCGCGCCAAGATTGCAGGGATTAAACTTCCGCCAAGGAGTTAAGATCGACCACGGCTTGCTGACCGAATGAGGTTTAATCAAGGAGATTGCTGTGCCTTTTGCGGGGGGCGTCGATTGGTCTGCCCGATGCTGTAGTGTAACTGTCTCACCCGCTCCGTCACATAAAAGGCACCCCGTCTCCCCACCATCCTAGCATCATCTCTCATCCAGTCGACACCTCTCCTCGCTCTGCTCACTATAATAATCGCACAATGGGGCTCATGCTCAAGAAGCCAGAAGGCGTGCCAGGCAAATCCTGGCCGGCCATTGTCATCGGTCTTTTCGTTGCCTTTGGAGGTGTGCTCTTCGGGTAGGTCTCTTCCACTCTCTATTTCAATTTCTATGGTCGTCGTCTGACTCCTCTCTAGATATGATACAGGAACAATCAGCGGCATTCTTGCCATGCCCTACTGGCAAGAACTCTTCTCCACCGGCCACCGTGACAGCACCGGACACCTGAACGTTACCTCCTCTCAGTCTGCAGCGATCGTCTCCATCCTCTCTGCTGGTACATTCTTCGGTGCTCTCGGTGCGGCTCCCATGGGTGACATGATCGGTCGGCGCTGGGGTCTGATTGCTTCGTCCCATGTGTTTATCCTGGGAGTCATTTTGCAGACTGCCGCCACGGCAATCCCCATCTTCCTTGCTGGTCGCTTCTTTGCCGGTCTCGGTGTCGGTTTGATCTCTGCTTTGAGTATGTTCCTTCCAGTCTGGTAGATTGATCTTTGCTAATAGACACAGTCCCCCTTTACCAATCTGAAACAGCGCCCAAGTGGATCCGAGGCACCATCGTTGGTGCCTACCAGCTCTCCCTCACCATCGGTCTCCTCCTGGCCTCCATTGTGAACAACTCAACCAAGGACCGCAACGACACCGGCAGCTACCGCATCCCCATCGCTATCCAGTTCGCCTGGGCCATCATCCTCATCGGCGGTATGCTGGTCCTCCCCGATACACCCCGGTACATGGTCAAAAAGGGCGACATCCAAGGCGCCGCCAAAGCCCTCGGCCGTCTCCGCCGCCTGCCAGCCGACGACCCTGCCGTCCGCGAGGAACTGGCCGAGGTCCAGGCCAACCACGAGTACGAGCTCAGCCTCGGCAAATCCACCTACCTCGACTGCTTCAAAGGCAACCTGCTCAAGCGGCTCCTGACCGGCTGCGGCCTGCAAGCCCTGCAGCAGCTCTCCGGCATCAACTTTATTTTCTACTATGGCACCCAGTTCTTCAAGAACTCGGGCTTCAGCAACTCCTTCACCATCAGTCTCATCACTAACTGCGTCAACGTCGCCTCCACCTTCCCGGGCCTCTACGCCATCGAGAAATGGGGCCGCCGCCCCGTCCTCTTCTGGGGCGCCGTCGGCATGTGCGTCTCGCAGTTCCTCGTCGCCATCCTCGGCACCACCACCACCGGCCAGGACGCCGCCGGCAACATCATCGTCCACAACGAGCCCGCCCAAAAGGCCGCCATCGCCTTCATCTGCATCTACATCTTCTTCTTCGCCGCCACCTGGGGCCCCAGCGCCTGGGTCGTCACCGGCGAGATCTTCCCCCTCAAGATCCGCGCCAAGTCCCTCTCCATGACCACCGCCACCAACTGGCTGCTCAACTGGGCCATCGCCTACTCCACCCCCTACCTCGTCGACTACGGCCCGGGCAACGCCAACCTGCAGTCCAAGATCTTCTTCATCTGGGGCGGCTGCTGCTTCCTGTGTATCTCGTTTGTGTACTTTATGATCTACGAGACCAAGGGTCTTACCCTCGAGCAGGTGGACGAGCTGTACGCCGAGGTGAGCAGTGCGCGCCTGAGCAAGCACTGGACTCCCACTGTTACCTTCCGCGAGATCCAGCAGGAGAAGGCTAGGGATACGCATTTGGAGACTGCCGATGAGACTGCTCCCAAGACGGCATGATTGTGACGCTGTGATACGTATTGGCTTTTGATGTGGAAGTCATGTAGTATATAAAATACGACTATTATGTCTATCCTATGATATCGTCACCGACTCTAGATGAACAATTTATATGTTTGCACGATAATAAAACAGATTGTATCACGCCAAAGATAGTCAGCGTCCCACCGCTGATAGATAATGCAAGGTTGAGATCCCAATGCGGAGCCGCGAATCCTCCAGCAGTCCCAAATATGATTGAGATTATGACAGCAACAAATGTCCAGATCAGCGCATGTCGGATGCTCAATTCGTAGTCGAGCATGAGTGCTCGACACACCGTTTTTCCTGTTGCGTCGACTGTACGACGAGGAAGGATAGTGTACGGCTCAAGAAGGGCCACGCAGTTTGAACCTCGAAGAACGGATGGGTTATAGATTGCACCGGTGAGACTCTCATTCACTGAGCGATGGTCGATGGAGTGAATGAGTCGTGTAGGGGTGTCCTCACTTGTCTGTGATAATGAGAATAGCATATCATGAGGGTAGGGCACCTACCACCGAGAGCACGACATTGCAAATCACAACCCGACGCATTAGAACGAGATTCCAAAGTCGGTAACTCATCGCGTGTGTGTCGTTTTCTAGACCATATAGTAGGAGCAATTGACGGATGAGCTCCTCGCTTCTGATCCTAGGGGCAATGCGCATCGCCTGGACGGTAGGGAGGCCATTGTGGTCTCGTACTGCAACTCTGATCGCAAGAGTGGGAGGAAATAGGCAGCGCAGATCACCACGTTGGGAGTGGGATGTGTGCTGATAACTGGCTGGGGGATATTGTGGCACTGAATGCACTGGGAATGGTAGCATTCTGTTTTATATGGTGATTCAGTTCGATTTCAAGGACTGAGGGGTCGGACAGATAGACTGACCATGGTTCTGTTTGTTATAGTTATCTGCGTGACTTGAACAGAAATATATTCCAGAATGGAGTCCGTGTCCTTGGTGATATCAAGAACATTGTGCTTTGGGGAGGTTGCTAATATGACCATCAGCACAGAAATGCCCATGATGGAAATATGGTATGCCTGAAGCTAAGCTCAAGTGCTGAGCACATTTGTGTTGATCTCGTTATGGTATTATGCAGGGATGCGTGGCGACCAGTCTAATAACAAGCAGGCTAGTTAATGAATTAATACACTGCGCTAGGACGACCAATAAGACCCTGCATAGTGGGCAAGGCTGTGCTCCTGCACCACTCATTACTGCCTAGGCTTCAGCACATTTGTGCTGAGCTCACCTCTGCCATAAAGGCATGAGCAATCATCTGAAAACTACTCAACAGGGCGTATGTCAACTTTATCAACCACTTCAACCCTTTCATCCATCCTAGCAAAGGCTGAAGCTCATAGATCAAAGGTGCACTCTGAGCATGGAGCACTCTTTTGAGCATCGCATTACCCCTGGAAATCAGGATGGGCGCTTTTGTCCCCAGACTCCGAGTGGCCCCCAGTGTCCATGGACCACACCTGCCCTAGATGGCAGTTTTGATTTGAGTGACATTATAGTAACGGAACCTGCCCAAGATAGCAGTTCAACTTTGAATGCAATGAGCGTCGACTCGGGATTGGGCCTGGACTGGCAAGACTCCCCAAAACTCACAATTCATGGCCAGGAATATGATGGCGCGTCAAACTCATATCTCGAGTTCCTTCACTGGAGCCCCGGCTTATATGAGGCGATTACGGATTTGGATAATTTCAATACCTTGGCGGATATCCCTATCAGCCAGACATACCTACGTGATTTGTGTGACGAGTCCCCTCGGACCATCTTCTCTTCATTCGACGATCTCAGAAGGCACAAGGAGACGAAGCATGAGATCACAGACGACATCCAGCAACTATCATGGCCTGTGCCAAAGGAAGCCGTATCAACGACCCCGAATGAGTTTCAGGAGCCAAGTACAGCATCAGAGCCTGGCTGCGTTTCACAGGTCTCCTCAAACGCAAACGTCTCCCCATCACAAAGAAGTGACCTCCCGCCAATGAGCAAAGGCATTCGTTCACCATTGAAGTGATACCACAGACTCAGGTGATTCGGAAATGCATGCTGACGAGGAGTCATTGTTCGACGATCAGGATGCCCATCTCTATATTGGGCGAAATTGGAATGAGTCAACCATTCACCGGCTGGAGCGCATTTACAAGGAGAAGCTATACTCGCTTGTAGGTTCAAGGGTTCTCCATCACACCAACCCACACCAGGAATATGGTACATCATCGGGTCATGTTTCTGCCTGTTCCTTTCAATCCGGGCCCAAAGACGGGACCTCTTCGGGGAAGAAGAGAAAGGCGGATGAGATTTCCCACGACGACGGCAATCATGGTGACCATGATGACAGCAACGGTGACGGTGATGGCAGCCAAGAGCCCTCCAAGCGATTCAAAGCATCGAAATCAGAAGACCGAGCCTTACGATTCGCTTGTCCCTTCTTCAAGCGGCACCCAGAGAGCTTCCGAACACGTGGAATGTCGGATCACGAGAACTCATCCCGGGTTAAGCAGCACATAAGTCGCAAGCACCGCATGCCCATATACTGCCCGAGATGCTCGGAAACGTTCAAGACCGAACACGAGAGGGACACCCACGCTCGTGATGTCGACTGTCCGGTGGGTCCCAAAGCCAACTTTATTTGCGCAACAGCCGAGCAATTGAGGAAATTGAGCAAAAGAAACACAAGGCAGACAGATCGAGCGAACTGGAACGCCATCTACGAGATCTTGTTCCCTGACGATCCGTTGCCTGAGAGCCCCTATCTTGACCCCCTCGTTTCATACGAGGTCAATCTCGTCCGAGAGGCTTTCCTAACGGCTGCCCCCGTCGCTGTCCGAACCGCTATACAGCATGTGATCCCAGAAGGATTGAGTGATACTCTGCAAGAGGAACTGGAACAAATCCTTCGGTCCACTCATGCCGAGGTCTTTGATCAGATCTTGCGCAGAATGCGCGAGGATCGAGAATCCGCGCGAGCGGATCGCACAACAACGCAATCATCGTCGCAAGTCAGAGTGTCGAGCACACCTGACTCCGGCATTGGAGGTTCCGTCAGATCTGGAAGTAGCCAAGACGAGCCTGAGTCGACTCTAAATAGCCAAGATAGGCTGACTTCCTTCGGCAGTGGTTCATTTGATCTACACAATGACGGGGCCATACCATTCCTGCCACTGTTCCCGCCAGGACTCGACTCATCCGACTATCATATGGGCCACATTCCACAATCTTTCCCGGCTGGGACTTTTGATGATCTTTCCGAGTATCTAGAACCTTCAGGTGACAGGTTTTGGACGGATCAATCTTGACTTGCGCTTGCTTTACTTCGTGCTTTTTCCCGTCATTCCTCTGGCTCCCCTTCGACACTGTGTGTTTCATGCGAGTTCGGTGATTTTTGACGTAACTAGATATTTTGTGTATGTCAGCGGATGTCGGATTTGGTTCCCTCAAAGGGCTGAAGAATGCTGATGCGGAGATTCGCCAAATCATTAATATGCCGAACTCCCTTATCGCCGTCACGACGAGACTTCTGGACCCTGGAACACCCTGGAACACGGAGGCCAAAACGTAATTCAGTTCAGAAGGCAACATTGTCCAGACGAGATCGTCCTCCAAGCATCCATTGCTGTCGCGTTTGCTGGAACAGGAAAGGAATGGGAGCATCGCCCCTTCCTACGTCATCGACTTTTCGCGCTCGCGATGATACTAATACTGCCCTATGGATGACAACGTGCTAGAACAATGAGAAATTTGCACATTGTCGGGAAATTAGGCAGTATGACCACGCTCATGCGAGACTCGGTCGCTGGCCATGCCATTCGACTCCTCACCAAGGGCCGATTCTTCAAGTATGCGGAGGAAAAGGACCCGTCACTATGGCAGCGATACGTCAACCCCGAGAAATCAGCTCGCATGGCCTGAACCGGTCGCACCGATGGAGATAATGTTCCAGATGAGGATGTGTTTGCCAACACGGCATCAGTGCCGGCGATTCCGTCCTCGGCGTGGGAGCATCATGGACATCGATTTCAAGGCCTCACGGGTGTGCGAATCAATCCTGAGCATGGAGAAGATGCCAATGTCATTGACTGGTGTGATAAAAATGATTCAGAGGTTTGCAGTCCACCCTATGTCATTGTAGTCATTGATGCTGATGACGCGGTAGAATCCTCAAAACTGGCCACTGGCCAAGAAGGTCTTTGTCACATTCGAAATCTGTCTGTTGACCTTCAGTGTCTACATTGGAAGTGCGATTTATACTCCTGGAATCCTCACTGTGGTGCAGGATTTTCAAGTCAGCCATGTGGCCGCAACACTGGGCTTGACCTTGTTTGTTGCAGGATACGGGCTAGGCCCGCTGCTCTGGTCACCCATGAGTGAAGTCCCTTACATAGGACGGAATCCAGTTTATATCTTCACCCTGGCTGTATTTGTTGTGTTACAGGTCCCGACAGCCTTGGCCGGAAATCTAGGGACTCTGCTTGCACTTCAATTTCTGACTGGATTCTTTGGATCGCCTGCTCTCGCTACGGTATGGAACCTTGTAGTCGATAGGGACGGGAGCTAATATAAGCAGGGCGGTGCTACACTTGCGGACATGTTCAGCCCAGCAAAGCGTGCCTATGCAATTGGCGTCTGGGGCCTCAGTGTGGTCCTGTCATGGGACCATTGGTCGGAGGATTCGCAGCACAGGCAAAAGGCCGGCGATGGACTATCTGGGAATTGATGTGGTTGTCGGGATTCTCACTCCTCATGTTGCTGTTCTTCCTCCCGGAGACATCGTCAGCGAATATCCTGTATCGACGCGCACGCCGACTACGCCAACTGACCGGACGAGAGAACCTGAAGTGCGAGCCGGAGATTGAAAGTGAAGGTCTTGCAGGATGAGAGATCCTCATGATTGTTTTGGTCAGACCATTTACCCTCAACTTCACGGAGCCGATGGTCTTCCTCCTCAATCTCTACATCGCACTCATCTACGGCCTTCTCTACGTTTGGTTCGAATCCTTCCCCATCGTCTTTACGGAGATCTACCACTTCAATCTCGGCCAGCTAGGCCTTGCTTTCCTCGGTATCCTCGTAGGAGCTCTCCTGACAATTCCGTACTACTGGTGGATGCACAGGTACCTCGAGCCTCAATTCGACGAAAACGGCAATGTCCCACCGGAAGCTCGACTTGGACCTGCCGTCGTTGGCGCTTGTTTTATCCCAATCTGTCTGTTCTGGTTCGGCTGGAGTGCACGACCGGAAATCCACTGGATCATGCCTATCATCGGCTCCGGGTTCTTCGCAGTCGGTGCGTTCCTTCTATTCAACCCGATTCTGAATTATCTTCCCGACGCGTATCCAGCGTATGCGGCGTCTGTGCTTGCGGGGAACGATCTCTTCCGGTCAGCTTTCAGTGCGGGATTTCCCTTGTTTGCGACGGCAATGTATCAAAACCTTGGGGTGGGGTGGGCAAGTTCCACCCTGGCGTTTTTGTCCATTGCGTTCATACCCATTCCGTTTGTTTTGATGAAGGTGAGTATATGTCTTCTATTCTACAAGCGTATACTAACATGGATAGACTGGGGCCATGCTGAGGAAGAGATATAGTAAGCATGCGCGGAAGGATATATAGGTCACGCTGTCCATTAGTGAAATTCCTGTGCGTTGTCAACTTAACATGACGCTGCCATTCTGTTGCAAAGTGGTCTTTAAAATTTAATCATTAAGGTATGAACCGTTTATGGCGTGCTGCTCTAGGCGTAATGTGCAACCATGTGAGTTGCAGTTGTTGTTTGCTTATCCATCGCCGGGGGAAACGCCAACTATCAACAACTCTTGTTTCCCTTCTCATTGAACATTGTCTGAAACCCATATCCTCATGTTGCAACAGAACATTGTGCAGACTGTCTTTTTTACAGCCACACCCTCTTTTCAGCCTTGCTGTTTCATGGATAAAGCCCACGGCCTTCCCTCCCGAATCTCGCACTCTGTTTACTTTCCCTGCTTCATCGACATTGAATTGCAATGTCCGACCCCCTATCAGTTGCTGCCAGCGCTGCTGGTATTATTTCCCTTGGCCTGCAAGTGGCACAAGGAATAGTTTTGTTTTGTGGCGCTTGTAAGGGGTATGGAGAGGATATGGAGGACCTTCGCAACAAAGCGACCGGATTGGCCAACACGCTGACGCATCTGGACCATGTTCTTCACATAACGAGCGCCGTCGATACCGTTTTCCGAAGGCAAGTCGCTGATCTATTGGACGGTAGCAAGGTCACGATGGAGAAGCTCGAGAAGCTAAGGGCCAAACTTCCCACGGCAGCAACTCAGCAACTGGCGGGCGAAACAGTCCGAGGACTCAAACGGAAGGTGCTCTACGCCTTTGAAAAGCGGACTTTAGCGGACATAACAAGCATGATTGACAGCCTGCAAGGGAACATCGACACAGCGCTGAATATGTGGGTTCTAATTACTCTTTGGCTGTGGCCTCGAAGCTCTCTAACTTCTACCAAAGACTGCAGGTACATCAAGGGGCCCGCTTGCTTGATGATGTTGCAACGAACTCAGCACTGAGCTTAGACATTCGGGATCAACTGGCAGAGCAACAAACTCAACTTCAGCGCCTGGTCAGTACAAGGTTGCAGACTACGTTATTGGTGCTTGCTCTTACATACAGCCACAGGAATCGCTGTTGATAGATGTTCACAATCAGCACTACATGGTTCCGCCAAGCCTATTGCGTTCCCTGCATGACGATAGGCAACATCTTTTGAAAACATTGAATGGCCTGAATAGCAATAATTCCGGAAGGCATACAATATCTGCCCATGCTATAGGAAACAAGCGCAAATTTCTGCAGGATGTGCAACGTGGAAAATCAACTGATCGCCTGATCCTCAACAAAAGTTTTCAGATTTGCAACAAATTACTACAGCTCAGTTTGTCTGTTTCGCTCGCCATTACCAAAGGCGCTGGGGGGTGCGCCATCAGCCCTATGATTGCCTACAGGTGCTTTCGAGACTTCAGAAAGATAGGTCTTATGCGCGTTTGGAAGGGAGATCTTTTGCCAACGCTGAAGTCGTTATATGGATCGGGAAAGGCTAGACCTACAGATGTATCTGAGAAAGGGGAAACCACGTTACATGTAGGTACTCCAGAAACTGCAGCAGAAATCGCACTCATCCAGAAAAACGCAGTTGATATCCCATCCTTTCTTCATCCGCATATTCCAGAAAACCGACTTTAGCAAGCTGCATCAAGCAATCAATTTTCTGGTTCGAGAGGGCGTACCGACGGACATTTCGACTGACACGAATCTGACAGCTCTGGACTGCTTTTTGAGAGCATACCCGCCGAAGCCAGTATTACATCCCCTCATATCCGACATGGCCAATGCTGGATGTTATATTACAGACAACTCGCTGCAGCCGTGGAACAGACCACTAATTCGATACATAATTCTTCATCACCCCGAAGGTACGTGTAGAGGCATATCTTGAATCATGTATTGAGCGTGCGCTAATCCGGGAAGCTGTCTCTCTGTCCTATCCTGCTCTAGTAATCTTCCAAGAGGCAGAGCGTGAATTGGTTAGCCTAGTGGGATCTGACCAGCTCTCCGGTGATCACATTATTGGTGACTACACAGCCTTGCAGCTCGCTAGTGGGTGGCCGGCCGGTATCAAGATCCTCCTGGATGCAGGTGCAGATATGACCAAAGACGGCAAAGGGAACGAATACATGGATTCGTGTTCCAATCCGCTTAGCTGGGTGATACTCTCTAACTGTGCAGCCTCTGTACTCGTCTTCCTCTGCGCAGGTGCCCCGCTCCAGCCGAATCATATCGGTCGGGCCATTCGTATCTCGACTCCTGGTGAACGAGTTGATACGACGGCGTCAAGCACTACGTCAGCTGGAATTAGTAGCACTACCCGAGCATTTATTCTCTCGAGATGTGCTCCCAGATGCAAACGCCCCAATGATTTTTGACGCCCTTTGCGACGCAGGCATTCCAATGAATACGAGCATGGACCCGCGAAGCTTGCACGGAGGAGATGTAAGACCACCGTATGGCAGCATATTCCATCAATGGCAACTAGACCGAGATCTTATGGATCGGCTGTACGATGCTGGTTTTGTGGATGTTGATACCCTCGATTCCGCTGGATATAGTCCCTTGATGCTCGCCTCATTCCGCTTGCCTGCCGACTCGCTGATCCAACGGGCAGACTGGCTGGTGTCCAAGGGTGCTGATATAACCGCTTGCTTACCCGGGACATCGACATCCGCCATGCACGTCATAACCAATCGCGTCATACGGAACCATCAAATTGGAAGGCACCTGTCTTATAATCACTCTTCGGGTCTACCGGACACCTCGAAATCGTTTATTCTGGGTCTGGAGATAATTGACTTTCTCAGAGGAGCCTTTACAACAGGTTTGCACGACGCCTGCGAGTGTCCCTGTTCGCGAGAAGGCGGATGCACACCACTGTCTATCGCAATTAGAGCGTTGTTCTCACCATGGTCAGCATCAGCAGCAGCGAAATTACCAATGGCTCTTCCCAAGCTCCTTGAGCTAGCTCCTAAGACCCTTGAGACAGCAGAGACCGTCATACGATTGGCAACATTCAAAGACCTGGAACTCACCCATACGTGTTGCAGGTCATTTAGCTTTTGGAATTCAGGCCTACATATACTGAAGCCATTTGATCCACATGAAGCAGAGAGGATCTGTGATGAGGAGGCAGAGATCATTGAGGTGCTCAACCACATTGTAACAGGTTTCTTGAAGCAGTACCAGGGCCTCGCCATATCGCTCGTGCAATTCATGCAACACTACTGGTGTCCACGAATGCAAGAATACCTCCGCGGTGGCGTTAACTTGGATGAAGGGTGTTCGACACAGTTGAATGATCTTGGGATCACTCTTACTCCAAGTACCCGGATACACTCAAATGCGCTTTGCGTGCATCGACTCCCAAAGGTAACAGAAGGCAATGAAGGTTCGTCCTGGACCTTGTTAAGCCGAAATGTTACATCAAAGGTCTTTGTGACTGGTGATTATTTGTCAATGGAATTCAACATCATTTAAAGGGCTTTGAGCTGCTGAGACGCTGGCGATTGCTTTGATTCCCATCAGTCATCGCGATGGTGCAGGGTATTGTTTGATGTTATTCAGATGTTGTTTTATTTTTGGCGTTTCTATTCAGCTTCCATTGTTTGCTATTATTAATAAGATTTAATGCTGCTTAATATCAGGGAGTAAGCTTAAACACTATAGAATTTCCACCATCTATGTGTGGTCTTGTAGGGAAGTTACCAGCCACCATTTTACATGCAGATATACTCATTTCTGGAAAGGTAAGTCCTCACAGAGATGTCGTGTTGACACCGCGAAGACAGATAGCATGTTGACTATTAAATGTCCCAGACCCCCGCTGCTCTTCATGCAGCCAAGCATCTGTGGGCAGACGCTTCTAAGTCTGGTTCCTCTTCTGTAAGTACTCCTATCATACTGCTTAACTGTCGCCATTATGTCTTCAGCGCTGACACCTACGTTGTTGAATGATCTACTTGTAGAATGCCCGTGGCCAGCTCCCGCCTGTTGAGTCCTCATCGATGCCATAGTCTCCAGGTGGAAATACTGGTCGCCAAACCTGGCTAACATGCATCGACGCCTGCTGACCGATGGCAAGCCATATCTGCATAGTGCGAGTCGTTACCATAGCTAAGTTGATGAATCAACTGGCAACGTATCCCAGACAGGTAATCGAATGCGTCCGTCCTATTAGAATTGAGTCATAACCCCGTATTCAAGGAGTCTAAGGTAGCCGGGGATACGTTTCATAAGACTCGTATGACAAGGTGGCTGAGACAATCCGGAGAAACTGTTGACTCTGGCGTTCCCAACCACCAACTCAGCGGCTACATATAAACTGTGAAGACACAATATGCCAATAAATAGTCGCATCTCCCGTTCCCGCATCAAGACACAACCAACAGACAACGACGCTCACAATGTCAGACCAAAAGTCCTACTCCGCAAACTGCCACTGCGGCAACGTCAAACTCTCCTTCTCCACATCCTCTCCAATCGAAGAAACGGACGTTGTCTCATGCAACTGTACGATGCCTGATCTTGTCCTTGTCCCTCCAGCTGACACACTTAGGCTCCATCTGCCACATCAACGGCTACATGCTCACCTTCGTCCCCACCTCAGAGGTCACCTTTGAGACGGACAAGGACGCAGTAACGGTATACGCTCCGTTCCTGGCGCCTGGAATGCGGACTAACAGAGGCAGGCATACCGCTTCGCATCGCGCAATTACCCCCATTACTTCTGCCGGACCTGTGGGACGAGCATGTATGCTCAGTCGGCTCTTCCTGGTGAAGATCGGCCTACGGGGATCAATGTAGGTGCGTCCTTGGCCGTGTAGGAGGCAATGCTGAGTGTGTAGGTACGCACGATTCACGGGATTGATATCAAGGCGTTGAAGGTTAAGGAGTATGATGGGAAGAACTTGTTGTAATGTTTGGTATCTCGTTTAGTGGGTGTTTGGACATGGAAGGTGACTTGTTCAGGATTGCTGGGGAAAGAGTCTGGTGTTCTGCGGCGAGAGGATGAGTTATTTGAGGAAGTTCATTATTTATTTTGATTCTCAGTAATCGATGAGCTGTGCATTTTCGAGCTTACACCTGCAAGGCGTGGGGAAGTTTATATCCCTACTGATAATCCTTCTCATCCGTCATAAACTCCTCATCATTCAAATGCCCGAACCGCCACCAGAAGACCACCGTCTGCACAGCCAACGCAATACCCGGCGCGGCCCAGATCCAAATCAGCCACGGGTCCTTCGTCGCCGGAATCAATATCTCCCCTATCGCACTGGACAACGCATGCGTAAACAGAAAGATAGCCGTGACTAGGCCGCGCATACTCGGCGGCGCCCGCGAATACGCCAGCTCATACGCCGTCACATTGCAGAAACACTCCGACAGAGCACCCAGCACCATGTTCGGGATCTGCCACCAGATACTCAGTGGGCTGACGCCGTCGCACGTCGAGGCTTGGTAGCCACAGGGTGAGGTCTCGTAAACGCGCCACTGGACTACCGCTGCGATGACGCTGGAGATGGTCGCGAGGATGAATCCAAAGACGATCCGGCTTGCTGGGCCGAAGGGAATCCGGTTCCGAGCGAGAGCGGGATAGACGACGTGGCTGAGGAGTGGAATTGTGACGATGATTGTCAAGGCGTTGAAATTGGTGAGGAGATCGTTGGGGGCGCCGTTGGTGGTCATTGAGGCGCCTTGGTTGGTGGAGACGGAGCCGATGCCCCCGTCGTTGAGGATCCAGATGGGGAAGTAGAAGAAGACTTCGGTGGCCACTGTGTGGTGGTTAGGGTAGTTCAAGCAAAGTGCCAGGGAGTTAACTCACCCAACGTGCGTCGCACATCGTCGACCAGCTTCTCGTTCCAATCTACCTGGATCCCCTCAGCGGCGAGCACGCTAGACTTAGCGGCGTTGAAGAAATCCTTCTTCCAGACGCGGTACTTGTTGCGACGGAGAGCAGTCGAGACGATCTTCATAGCCTTGGTGAGATCTGAACTGCCGCTTGGAGGCTGCTTGTACGTCTTCTTATACACCAATGCCAACACGACCGGGAGAAGAAAGTATATCGCTCCAGCCAGTACCCACGACAACCAGAACCCAACGTACTTCTCCACGTACGCAGTGGGAAGCATATAGAACGCCCCGATGTTCACAAACGCGTAGAAGATCAGCATCGTTCGCGTGGTGGTCAACTCCGGATCCACAATGACCTTCTCTCCCGTCTTCAGAACCTTGGTGTACTGCTTCTTCTGGCGATTCTGGTCGAGGATGGTGGGTGCGATGTTGGGCTTGAAGATTCCGGCTCCGAGCGCCAGAAGAAGAAGGCCGATTATGAACGGAGGGGCGGCGTGCGCTGGACCTTTTTGGAGGACGGATGGTATGGCGCCGATTATCTGGATTATATGTGCGATGCCGCAGATTGCTACACCGACACAGATTGCCTTGTAGCGGCCCACGTAGACGTCGGCCCACCTGTACTGTCAGATGAGTCGACCAAAAAGGAGCAGTATCTTACCATCCACCGAGAATAGGCAGGACATAGGCTAAGAAGGAAAACAGAAGGACAAGCCCTGAGCTAGCCTGCAGACCCATTCCTAACGCACCGGCCGTCTCCTGTGTGCCCCTCGGGGGAGCACCAGCTCCATTTCCACCTGTCTTTGGTTACCATCTGCCCTGTCGTAAAGAATAAAGGGAGTATACCCTTTGGAAGAGGAAATTGGATGAAATTGGAAAAGATATTCTTGGCGCCGTAGTAGGATGCACGCTCCGCGAACTCGACAATACACAGCGAAAAGGATACCAGAGGGAGGCTCGCAGGGACTCTGCGCAGCGATGTCTTTTCTTCTTCTGTGGGAGCAGGGTAGTCGTCTGTTTCCGTAGAGGTGGCTGTAATTTCATAGTTCGTGCTTTTCGAGGTCGCCTTTGGCTTCAGTCAACCCGGAGGTTATCGTGTTGCTGGTAATGGTATCACCTGGTAAAGCTGCTCTTGTCAGTATAGCTAGACAACAGGCCGGATGAACATACACATCTTGACCTGCGACGAAATGGCGTTGGTGGTTCCAGACGAAGAGATGGCTAGTCGCCTTTTTATCAATGCTCAGCTGGTCGCGCCATCGACGTCGGTCCTTTGCAATCAGGCAAGGGACGGACTCCGTCGGTAATGCAATCATGCAATATTCACTAACAATGATCCAGTCAGTGTTAAGTGATGTTCATCAGACACAACCATTTGCGGTACTGATATGCAATGTAACCCCAGGATACCATGAAGTCCACATGCTAGACTGCGATGGAGCATTCCTGATCGTCGTGAATATCTGCGGCTCCGCTTTCTCATTGGTGAGATAGGAATGAGTGGTAAATCTCCGGACACCCAGCTTCAGGATCTAGAGGATGCTCTCAACTTTGGCCGAGGCGGCCTGATCGTGAGACGTGCAGTGAATAATATTCAGGCACAAATGGAAAACTTACTCGATCCAGTCCTAGAGAAATCTAGACCACGAGTCTGCGCGTTATGAGGGAGACTCTCGAGGACGAACTACTTGCTAGGAGCATTGCTCGAGCTGTGGTAGAATGATGGCATTGCTGTGACTAGAGCATAGCTTGGTTTAGCACGCCTGGCCTCATGCTCAGTACCCCTCTGACAATCATAGACTCACTCTTGAATCTTCCAGACATCGTGTACCCTGACCAGTCAGGCGTGGCCTAACTTTCCAAAGACAAAGCGAAGGAATTCATTGTTTTCACGATACTGATTTCCAGTGTTTCCCTACAAAAGTGGCCAGTCAGCACACGCACCTGAGATCTCCAAGGACCCCAAGCGTGGTTGCATTATTGCCCATTACAACGAAGAGCCTCTCTATGAGTGTGTTGTGCGCACAGAACCTGTTTCGTCGACGGATAGTCTGCTCGTATTCAGGGCTCAGCCTGGCAGTTCGACACGATAGCAGTCAGCAGGCTTGACGATCATGTCTACTGAGACACGGACATCAGAGATTTGGGAGATCTTGCAAGCGCAAGCAGGCTGCAGCGCCTGCAACAACAGATGCAAGAGGAGGCTCAGCAGCGCGAAAGAGAGGTCAGGAGGAGCAATGGGAGCAGGGTTGGTTCGCCCCAGGGCGAAGAGAAGAACACTACGCGCGAAGCCCATCACCAGTACATTAGAACTTGAATCCTCGAAGACGGGCATCAACAGTTGAGCCCTGCCATAATACATGCTTTAACAGGCGTCTTAAGCCTTGTGTCTTTTGCTTTCGCCATGAGCTGATATGCGTGCCTGCAACCAGTTTTCAACTGTGGAGCTGAGATCAGCTTGCTGTTGGGTACGTCCTTAGTTTGCAGTATACCAATTTTTATTTGATAGCGATTCCTTGGTTAATCCTTGCTGTAAACTATGGCCGGGCCACTCTGGCGAGCCTACATTAAGATCTATTGCTGATACAATGTCTAAGAAACATCAAGCCTTCATTAGAGTGTACAGTCGTGCTTTGTCTGGCATAGTGTGGTGCTATCAATCGGTTCTAAGAAATTGAGTCCCTGAAAGATGGCTAAGCTAGGCATACAGCATGGACTGCACGGATTTTGTAGTTCTATCTCACATATTCTTGACGTCCAAACGTCGGATCTTCGCCACGAGGTCAATGCAAGAACGCAAGGAAATGTACAGCAGTATTTCACCCAGAGCTTACCTATATAGCGCCTTAGACTTCAGTGGCAGGTGGATACACGTTCCACCTTGCAATATCGTTCTACCGCCTCTACGATTTTTTCCTTGAACGGCAATGAAGCACTGATGGTAACCAATGGCGAAAGCATCCAGAAGCTTCGAGGACCCAGCATCCATTACACATTAGGTAAACTGAGATGCTAGCTTGTTGACAGAACAAATGCTAGACTGAGTTGATGGCGCGATAGTGGACTCGAATTGATCAACCTTCTTTAGCCTGATGCACTCCCCCGATAAGAACTACAAGCACGGCTTAGCAACAAATCCCACCTGGCTCGTCGGCGGTTGTTGTTGGAGGGACACGTTTTCCAAGACGGCCCCCAAAGCACGTTGATGCCAGAGTGAGGTGTGAGACTGAAGTAGAGGGTGTTTTGGTTCTTTGGATAGCCGTGTCGGTTTAGGAGCCGCACAGACTTTCCGGTACAAGCTGCAGGATATATCATTCTGCACTCGTCGTCAGACAGCAGCCCGGAGGTAACCCATTGATGCTGGCACCGATCATACCACACCAGATCCGCGTCGTTGAGAGGGGTAATCATTGTGATGGCTCCGAATATTAGCGTAAACGGGGAGTACTTCTGTACCCACGGTTTTCAACGTATCCAATAAAGACGTGGAAGATAGATCGCCAGATATGCGCACGGACAGCCTCCGTAGATGCCGAAGAAGTCGATGGCGCTGGTTTTGTTTGTGTTGCTGGCTCTGTCGGGCTGCTCTTGACGGGAGCGCGTCGCTGTGTGGATAGGGGGTTGTAGTTATTTAGTTCCTCTTGCCAGAGGTGGAGAGCAAGGTCTTGGCCTGACAATCACCCAGCCGCCTGTTTCCCTTTGCTTCTGTCCATGGTGTCCCTGGTATCACGGCCATTTCCAGTGCTCAGACAGTCCACCAACGCAAAAGACACCAGACCCATTGAACGCCTCAAACATCGGCCCATAGTGATATGAGGCTAGGAGTACGTCCCAATCAGTCGCCAACGTGTAAAGCGCTGGGCAGCCTCGCGGCGGGCGTTGTCAATGATAACACAGGCGCCTCGATTCTGCAACAGACGCGCAGCCTTGACATGCCCATACGCCGCCACGAAGAAGGGGCTATAGAGCCGTCCGATGTTGGTCACTCGATGTCTGCGGATTGTACGCGGTTCTCGGTTCTACCACTTCCAATTTCACGGCGTCATTCCTCGATTTGCTGCCGTCTCGAAATCAACGCCCTGCTCAACTAGGAGCTTGACTCCCTTCTCTCCCATCGTCGCCCTGGCTGCGACGTACTTGATGCTGAGCGCATCAAGGAACATTTGGGTGAGCCACATGACTATAGGCCAGTGGACGAAGACTAGGACCAGTTTTTACCAAAGTAAATTTGGATCATGAGTCCTGAAGACGATGTCAATGATTGGACTTGATAGTTTCCACCACAGGCTTGACTCTAATTCTTCTTTTGCTGCGGGGCGCTCGTCTGACCCTCGGGTCCTTTCTCGGTCTGAGCCTTCGGCGTTTGTGCTCTATGTTCACTTTGCTGGTCATGGTCACGGACACGGTCATATAGCCCGTTACTTGTAAGCAAAACCAGCTTGAAAACATTCAGGAGCAGTTGCTGGAGTGTCAGCGGGGTGGTGGCGGAGAGATCGATCTGTTCCTTATCACAGTCCAAGAGCTTACACTCATTGGGCCGCAGGAAGGCAGCAGGAAAGTGCCGACCCTTTCCTATAGTGACGACATTGCGACAGGCATGGAATTGGCACCAATAAAAATTGACTCGCATAGAGCGTGGCGCCCGCGGCACTGGCGGCGGGGGTTGAGGTGTTACCCTCGACAAACAGACTGCGCAGTCTAATAAACATTAAAGAAGACTCGAGATGTGCTTATCAGGACACGTAAACGTACTTTCTCTGTCTTCTTATTCCTGATAATCCCGTGATGAGAACAGGGCGCCTGGTCAATGTTGAAGTCCCAGCCATATCTCCGTGCATTGCAGCCGTACAGTTAAGGCAGGGATCGAAAAAGGCTTTGTAACACAATTATCGCCGACAGATCAATGGCGTCGCCGGCCATGTCCGCTGTCTGGTCCACATAAATATTAGCGTATGAACGGAAAAGGGAAGTTATCGAGACGTACCAGCTCACAGAGCATGTGGAATGTCGCTGTCGCTGTCACTTCGTGGGTGCGCTATGGGTTCGCCCTGAGCTGGTCAATTTAGGCTGGTGTGACAGGCCTGGCCCATTCGCCGGAACGAGTTGCCACTTTTCAAGACTCACGTAGGTTGTGTTTAAATCAATCAGGAGGACGATGGAGCATCACGAGGAGTGGTCCATATGACTTGTGGCCTTCATTATAGCCCCAAGGTGAAGTGAGTCGCAGTAAAAGTGACAATGAACAGTCTCACTCTTGAGGCGTGTGGTTTTGGCTATGAGCACACCCTTCACTTTGCCAGTTGCAGGCCTCCGGCCTTAGTCATGTCATCAAGCGAACACAGAAAGTCGACGTATTGCTATCAATGATGCAGACCACCGCAAAGAGTCGATCCTAAAAATCCCAGTTTTTGGCAGTAGTGCGAAGGCATGGCATGCACCAATATTTGAAAGTGCGGCGACGGCCCAGGAATGACGGGTCCCTAAGAGAACGTTAGCCGCGACACCAAGAAGATTGAGATAGCTAACATACCCCTCCATGAACGAGCAGAATTGCTCACTCGCCTGCTGGTAGCAATGTCCGATCCCGACGATAACTTCCCCAAGGGAGTAGACTCAGCAGTTTGGGCATCTCTTTGGCTCGCTGCTTTGGAGATGATAAGAGTCCTGGTTTGTAAAGCGGAGGAAGGTAGGTACGAAAGAATATTTGTGGCCAATACCCTCTACGACGCGAAGAAGATGTGCCGCATTCAAGGATTTTCGGGATTGCCTGGAGACATGCTCAACGACGGAAGAAGAGTATGAGCTCTGTCGAGAGATGGGTCAACAGATAATGCTGCACAGGTGCGGCTTCGTCAGCTTCCATGGTGTTGTTAGGTCGAGGGAAGACGATGGCAACAAGATTTGTTTTGAGACTTTGGACAACAACACTTAGAAAGTCAGGAGTCATGTGACATTCGCGTGACATGCACTACCTTCTATCACCCTTAGAGGCCTAGCCTACCTCCGTCCCTTGATTTTCCTTGGTTTTGAGTAATGCTAGCTTGGGCATGTACATGTATGCCGGTTCCGGGCAGTCTAACTAATTCTGGTGCGGAGGTGAGACTGTTGAGACCTCCTTCAAGCAGAAAGCAAGCGTCCAGATAAGAACGATGTACTGGGGCCGTAGAGGAGTGTTATACAACGGTCGTCGGCAATTCAAGTGGCGGCCTTGCTTAATGGAAATTAGACGAAGGGTTCCTTTGAGGGTACACGGCGGAACTTTATAGTTTGTTGTCTACATGACTGAGGACCTACACTACGGAGGAATTGGTGTAAGTCAGAGAAAGGTACTTGCTAAAGGTGTCGAACGGTTCAATATCCGGAATACAAATATGGCTGATGGGGCGCTGTTGGGAAAGAAGACTTTTCTGGATGATTCAGGAGGAGGTCATCCACCTTGCATTAAAACATCACCTTCTCCACATTGGTGACAAGGACAAGGCACTGAAGGCGGTTTATGAAGTGGTGATGAGAGCCAGCGGCTGGTGCTACTTGGAAGTGACATGAATAAATGCTTCGTAGATATTTGATGTTGGTAAGGTCTTGTCCGTTGACTTTCAAACAAGCCCAATTGGGAACATGTGGTGATGGTGAATGACCACTGAGCAACACTAGCAGTTGTAACAGATTTTTTTCCTTCCTCTTCTCTTCTCTCTTCTTTCTTCTTCCCTTTCTCTTCCCATTGCCAAAACTCGAGAAGTTAGTATTGCTGAACAAGCCCACTAATTCAAAATGAGTATGGTGATCAGATCTGGTCAAAACGCATCTATTGATGCACCGAAAGGGGCATCTGGCTCCGGTGGAAAGCGTCCCAGAAAGGGAAACGGTGGTTGCCGTCCCCCAAGGGACAAGCCAGTGATCGGCAAGAAGCGCGTAAGTTTCGCACGAGCAACTCCAGCGTCATACTATCCTAACTCACACTCCTCATAGCAGGTAGAGCTTTGCAAGCCCTGCAAAAAGACGGATCACAGGACGGCTGACTGCCCCTACGGGGAGATTTATGTCAACGCGGGGATTTACCTCAGCGCGGTACGAGTAGCCTGTGAATCTCGCAGGATATGTTGGGTGAAACTGACTGTTACTCCATAGATCCGGTCTGCTGCCGCCTCTGATAACCCGGCTGTCTTCGGACAGAACCGGTGCATACTCGAAGTACAGATACAACGACACAAGTCGGAAGAAGCTGGACGGATTGATGCCTTTACTGGCTGTTGGTATTTCACTGGCGCCACCAACAATGATGGGTATGGCCAGATCCTCAGAAAGCAGACCCGGAACCTCGGTCAGAGCGGGCGCAATGCGCAAACAGCATTCTCTATGCATATTATTGCATACGTCGCAGGCCATGGACAGGATGTTCCTGCGGGCTTGCAGGCATCGCATCTCTGCAATAACCGCAACTGCTTCAACCCGGCACACATAGAAAAAGAGACTCCCGAGGCTAATAGCCAACGGAAGGGCTCCCCGGCTCCCTCTCGCCCGCGTGACCGTCGCCATGCTGGCCGGCCTGCCGCCCCCGCGCATCAGCGCCGCCCTTCCCGAGAGGGTCCGACGGATAGCGACCGTCTCAGAGCAATTCGGCAGGCGTGCCGAGAGACCCAGACCAGGCCCCAGAGCTCAAAGAACCACGGGAGGACATAGAGGAGGAGCCCCAGGAATCTCCACAGGACTCTCCTGCAGATATAATGGATTTGGATGGAGATGAGTGTTCTCAATGAGAGACACCGGGTTCCGACGGACCGAAACGACGTGCCCTCAGCCTCAATACCATCCGTCGGCACTGGAACGACGTGTCCCCACCCTGTTCTCCCACCTGTCAGCACTGAAACAACGTGCTCTTGGCGTCAGCCCTGTTGTCGGCACTGAAACGATGTGCACTCAGTCCCAGCTCCCACCTGTCAGCACTGCAACAATCTGTCCTCAGGATCAAGCCCTACCTGGTGACACTGAAGTAATGTGCCGTCCACCAAAAATCCTGCTGGACAAGTAGGTGCCTGGTCGTCATCTTTGATGACCTCCAGGTCTCCAGCATCAAGCTCACACCTCACCGCGGTGCTGGAGTCTAGTAACCAGCTTCAGATCTGGACTGGCGAAGCTAAGATGAGCTTGCTTTCATATATAGGCTTTAGTTTGCGGTACACGAGAGATCCCTTCTATTGGTAGTGTTTCCTTGAGTCACGGAAAACTGAGTCCGATGGCCCAGCGAATACATTTGCGCAAATAACACTAAATTCCTTCCTCGTATAGTATACTTGTTTTCTGCTCAACCATTATACCTCGGCTTATTTAAACTGGATAGTATACTATTGTTGTTATGTTGAAGGTATCCATCAACGGAAATTAGTTCTAGCTGCACAGCCGAGCCTTTTGGCCTCGAAACAGAAGTACATTAGTGATATGTGTATCGCAAGGGACTGCATTGAGGTATTTATCAACCTCTCCAGCGTAGTACTAGCGATAGAAGTGCAATATGATATTTAACAATACCGTACCCAGAACTTGTATGGTGCCGGAGTCTTCAGCCACACGTGGATACCTAGGCTATATTGGGGGACTAGAATAGCAATCTCAGACCTTGTAGCTCCTACTAGAACGTAAGGGTGCCCAGAGGCTATGGTTAGTATGCTAATTCCATTTGCTCATTTAAACGAGTGATTCAGATACAGGACTTCCTATGAGTCCTTAGGCAGTAGCCTTGCAAGCTCTCCATGCCTTGGAGGCCTTTCCCATCAGAGCAATAGCTTTAAGTGCAATATACTAGATTCACCCAAAGATGTGCACCGGAGATAAGGTATTGACTACTCTTTATTATCAGTAGTCTGCTGAACAACTTGGCACTCCAATAATTCGAGTAGCAACCATATACTCTATGCATACTATGTGCTTGCTGCATGTTGTGTGATGATCACCTCTAGTGTATTTGTAGAAGATCCATAAACAAAAGTGAATGACCACCAGACAACACTAGCAGGCGAGATGCCATTGCTACCCCTCGCACAAACACTAGCTGTTGAAAATTTTTTATTTTCTCTTCCTCTTCTCCTCCCTCTTCTTCCCTCCTGCCCTTCGATCCATCACCACAACCACCATCGCTATTTTCTCATCAGCAGAAATGGCTACTCAGATGGCTTCGGTTACCAACTCCGCTTCAGCTCGTCAGCCAGCTGCAGCCTCTGGCTCCGGCGGGAGAAATCCAGACCGGAACAATGGCGACCGGCGCGGCCCTGGCGAGGGCAAGGTGATGAAGGCAAAGAAGGTAGCTCGAGCAAAGATCCACCTAAGTTATACTGGAGCTGACTGCGTACTCTACAGAAGGGCCAGTGGTGTGTTTTCTGTCGACGCTGGGGTCACGACGCTGCGAAGTGTCGTGTTGGTGCCCGCGTCCTGGCCGCCGCGGTAAGGACAATATTTACTCATCATGCTAAAATCATGCTGACTATGACTTTTCATTACAGGCTGCGGTGTTACAGATCCAGGGCCATCTTCCCCCTCCTCCTCCTCCTCCTCCCCGTTCTCCTCCCCATCCTCGTGGCCGGCAGAATCGTCCTCGCATGGAGGGCCCAAACAGCCGGGAGCGTCGTGAAGAACGACGCCGGCTGCAGCGCCTGCAACAGCAAATGCAGGAGGAGGCTCAGCTGCACCAAGTACAAGGCCAGGAGGATGAACGGGAGCAACGAGTCGATTCGCCTCAGGGCGAAGAGAAGGACACTACTCGTGGAGCCGATCACCAGTGAGGCCCGTGTGTTCCTTCGGCACTGAAGAAGTGTCCTCATTTGCTGCTGACGGCACTGAAGAAGTGTCCTCATTCCCTTGACGGCACTGAAGAAGTGTCCTCATTCCCTGACGGCACTGAAGAAGTGTCCTCATTCCCTGACGGCACTGGAGAAGTGTCCTCATTCGCTGCTGACGACACTGGAGAAGTGTCCTCATTTCCTTGACGGCACTGAAGAAGTGTCCTCATTCCCTGACGGCACTGAAGAAGTGTCCTCATTCCCTGACGGCACTGGAGAAGTGTCCTCATTCGCTGGACGGCACTGAAGAAGTGTCCTCATTCCCTGACGGCACTGGAGATGTGTCCTCATTTACGCCCACAAGTTATGTGGCGATTCGTTGTCAACACTGAACAAGTGTCCTCGTGCGACTGGTGCTGAGAATGTGCCTCTCGCACATTGCCTAAAATTCTACTGAGTAAGTAGGTGCCTGGCGCTGAGAATGTGCCCCCGAGACGTTACCTGAAATCCTACTGAGAAAGTAGGTGCCTGGTGGTCATCTTCGATGGCCTCCAGGCCTCCAGCGATAAGCTCACACCTCACCGTGGTGCTGGAGTCCAGTAACCTGTATTCTATGTGCAGGTGAAGCTAAGATGAGCTTTCCTTGTATATAGCCATTGCTCTGTACGTAGCCTTCTCGCAATTGAATTGGTGGTTTCATCTACAATCAAATCGCAAAATGAAGTACAGTAAAGCAACTTACGACCGACCAATGCCACTAGCTACTAGCTTCCGGTTTGAAGAATAGAGATTCTAGCGTATGATGGCTTCGAAGGAAGCAGCACAACTCAGCTAAGCAATGCGGCAAAAGCCACTCAATTCCGCTCTTGTCCATAACATCACACGGTATATCGAGGTTCCGTAGGCCTGCAGGGAAAATTTTTGACGGGCTACCTGTCAGTCCAAAAACAGTTGCAGTGGTATAACTTCATGGCGAGAGTTCTATTTGCTTGCCCTTCCATGATGTTCTTTCCCACATGGTGCTCTACATCATAGTGAATGAGGTATCCGCCGGCCCAGCGGCCCTACCAGGGAAAACTGGGCCTCCGCCCCAAAAGCGGTTAGACTATCCGGAACCAGAGAAGGCTTGAACTCAGGCATTCACTTGATTGGTTGCACTGACGGGGCCTTGTCATTTCTGCACCCCGACAATGTAGATCTGATCAACTCCACAACTTCCCCATCTTATTCTTACCACTATGTTTCCCAGAGTGACGTCTACCTTTCATTCTCAAATCATATCCATATAGTCTGGTCATACAACTATCTGGGTGATTTATATCTTGTCACCATGAAAAATTTCTCCTTTCTAAACATCACCAGTAACAGCTTGATTAATGTCAACCAGAGCACAATTAACCTCAAACAAAGCTTTACTCGCATTGAAATTCTTACTTCTGATTTACTTTGATACCATCAGCTATGGCCAGCTCAAGCCATCCAGGTGCTCCTTTCGAGGATCCTGACCGCGTCAAGCTGATCAACCAGATTGACAAAGGACTCGCCACATTAGAAGAATCCGCTACGACCATACAACGGCTTAGAAATTGTTATGGGTGCTTATGGCTCGCAGATATGGAAAGACCGGAGTATTTAGTTGCTAAATATCTCCCGAATGATCCTCGTCAGCTCCTTGCCATGCTGTACTTGAGAGAAACAGAGGGCAAAATAGTTGCAAGATGTCAGTCATCAACCGGTCTCAATTGATGTGGCGCTAACAGTACCTGTTAAGGGCAACAAAAGGACCAAAATGGTGAATCTGTTGACTCGCGCAAAAATCCCGGACAGTCCCTGGACTCACCCAGACGGAGGAGGCCTAGAAGTCAGTCAGCAGAGGATGCAGTAAGCTATGACTTCCCGGCAGGAACTATTGCAATCAACCTAGCACTGACCACGTTGTATCCTAGTGTCGCGACCGCGATGAAGCCTGCATTCTTACAAAATGCGGCAAGGACATCTGCCAGCCATGCCCTTTGTGCTCAACCCATCCAGGTACTCCTTCCGAGGGTGCTGCCAGTAGTAAGCCGCCAGGTGCTCTTTTCGAGGAGCCCGAGCGCGTCAAGCTGATAGAGATGATCGCCGAAAAACTCGGGGAGACAGTCCACACCCATAGGATAAGTACTTTTAAAACTTCTTATGCGGGCTTGTGGCTCGCCGATATTGAGAAATTGAAAGCATTGGGTGACAAAGAGCCTTTGGATCTTTATTCCAGGCTATCGGTTTCCGAGCTGGAATACAAAATAGATCAAAGATGTCAGCAATCATCCAGTCTCTATCATTATGTACGGCTAACAGTGTGTTCTATTCAGGGCAACAAAAGGACAACGATGCTGAATCAAGAGCTCCGTCTGCTCCACAGACACCAATCAAGGGTACACCACCCTTGTTCCCGTCCTCCTCTGCCCCTGGGCCGAGCGCAGGCGAGGATTCGACAGCTTCAACTCCGCGACCCCGGGACCAACCCCTGTCGATCGATACACCAGGAAGTTCTGGTAAGTCGCGGAAAAGGCCAGGGGAAGCTCTAGGCACGCCCGAAGGGGCGAAGAAGCCCAGAATAGACAAAGACGTCGCGGAAGCAGTAAGCTATGCCTTCCCGCCAGAATCTATTGCAACTGCCTTAGCACCAACCACGTGGTATCCTAGTGTAAGGACCGCGATAAAGCCTGCATTCTCACAAGATGCAGCAAGGACATCTGCCAGCCGTGCCCTTTGTTCCCTTATTGGCTGAATTATGAGAATATGGATGCCGTGCTGCAGTTTTTCACCGCTCTGAGAGGCTTTTGGAGTGATGGAAAGGTGGACGAATGGTATAACGCTATTTACGGAGATGGCTTGGGCCCTGAAAAGCCCGAAAATCTCATACTCCTCAGCCCAAACGCATATGTACTATACGCCAATGGGTACATTGTCTTCGAGCCTGTCGACAGAGATCCAGAGGGCAAGTGGCTGACACTTAAGTTTTGGTGGTTGAAGCGACATGAACATGATGAGGGTGTCGACTTTGGGGTTATCCCGGAACTTCCATCAGATCTCCACCCATCGGACTACGGTGTTGCCCTACATGATGTCCGCAACGATCGTCCACTGCTCTCTGGTGAGATGATCATGCTAAAGACCCACGATCCGGAGAATTATCCACTCCCGGATACCCGGATCCTTGACATGCAGTGGGTCCTGAATCGTGTGTCTGCGTTAAGTGGTACTACGGAACCAAAGGTCCCGGACGATGATGACGATGAGTGGGATGAGGACTGGGACGAGGGTCTCGGCTAATTATCCCGTCCTGCATTGCAATTCCTAATGATTGTATTGAATTATAATACCACTAGGCCAAAAAGGCGTCCGGACATGGTCCTCATCAGTCTAGGGTCTCATATCCATAGTCATAGTGGTATTATATTTTAACAGATTGTATGGGATAGGTGTCTCCGAGTATGACGGATAACGCGCTTGATTCCACATCGATCACCCACTGGCACACGGCCGCGCCCCGCCGGCTATCAAAAGTCAGTATATTGATTCAGCCTTCATGGGAAGCATCCGAGGAGAGGCAATACTAATACGTGGCTATAGAGCGGCAGGATGCAGTGAGTGTGGGAAACTATTACACCGTTAGTGGTGGTATTCGTACTGTCATCTATACATTAACAATCTATGTCTTATTTATTTATCTAGTTAATTATTGCTTCATATCCTTGTCTCCGTCAATAAAATGCGTGATTCAAGCATCCGTTGGATCCTGAGTCGGATAGGACGCTGGCTATTGATTCGGATCCCACTAAGGCTCTGCTGTCGCTTGTTGCCGCTTTAATACCGCTGGGCAGTTGTATCTACAGGTAATATGAAGACACTTTTTGACTGGTCGTCTCCTGATCTCCTCCATACTCTCTTAGCAATATCTACAGCGACCAGTCTAAGGCCAGCCCGGGCATCAAAATACCGATGCTCTTGGACAATGAGTGGTCCAGGAGGTGTTCGTTCAGGATTAGAACGAGGCTCCTCTATGTGTTTGCTAGTGCGAGTATAACCTCGCTGATATAATAGTCGTCTTACTCTTGGGTTATACTCTATGTTGTCGCCATCTCGCTCGCTTCAATTGTCACCCAGCGACTTCGATATCGCTCTCGCACTTATTCAAATCCAACATCGGTCACTCCTAGATTTGCTATCGATCGCTTCGCTCGGTTTCTGTATCAATTTGTATTTTGTACAATCCTTTCTCTCGTTCCTTGCCTAGAAGACTCGCGCTGGTTATTGATCTATCGTCTGTTCTAGTCCTAGAATGACTCTGTGAACAACAAGTGGCAATGCAACATGGTCATACTTAGACAAACCTGAATCAACTCACTGTCTAGTTTTCTATAATCGCCACCCTCCCTTCCGCACTATTACAATTCCATGTATTAACCGCTCACTAGGTATCTGCCTCCGCCAACCAGATCGCCTTCCAGCTTCTGAGGTTGCAACTGATGCAGGGATCATTACCTGATTTCCAAAAGCCCCCTTTACCATATAAGGAGGTCGAATGCGCTTCAACCATGCAATACAGTCTACTCCTCCTTTTGCCTTTCGCTGTCGCTATGGCTACACGAACTGCAACGACGACGACAAGTGCTTGCGAAGATGAAGCTGCCGTCCAAATGCGTAGGCTAGTAGTGACCAGTACAGCTACGGTGATTGAAGGAAATACTTCAGGCTCAGGCCCAGGCTCGGATGAAGAAACTCAAGAGTACCGGACCGGGTTGAAATTTTGGCTCATCATACTCACCATGAGTGCCTTGCTTACTCTTGGAGGGCTGGACACCAATATCGTGGCGACCGCTGTGCCCAGGTACGTACTAGAAAATCAATGTCATCTCTAAAGCTTAAGTGCTGAACAGCTAATCATTCTTGCCTTGGTAGCATAACCAACCATTTCCACACCGTTGCTGATGTTGGCTGGTATTCTTCTGCATTCCGGCTCTGCTCCTGCGCATTCCAGTTCATCTTTGGCAAGCTATACAGGCTGTTCTCTATCAAAGCTATATTCTTGCTTGCACAGGCTATATTCCTAGTGGGCTCTGTGCTCTGTTCCACAGCCACAACATCTTCTATGTTTGTTATAGGGAGAGCTGTCACTGGAACAGGCTTTGCAGGAATTATTGGAGGATTATTCACTATTCTTGTGTATATCTTGCCTCTCCGTCGACGCCCATTCTTCTGTGGTGTGTTGGGCATGGTTGAGAGTCTGTCTATTCTTGCCGCACCGATCATTGGTGGAGTTCTGACTGAATTGCGGTGGTGTTTCTGGATCAATCTACCAATTGGATCTGTCTCACTCTTGATGACTATATTTCTGTTTTCGGACCCAAAATCCAGTGATATCAACAAGTCCTTGAAACAAAAGCTGATCGAAATTGACCCAGTCAGCAGCCTGCTATTCATTCCTGCGCTGACCAGCCTTTTCATCGCCCTTTCCTGGGCTGGGATAAAATACCCCTGGGATAATGGTAAGGTTATCGGCCCTCTTGTCACCTTTACTATTCTGCTTGTTACCTTTGCATATAATCAATACCGACAAGGTGATGCTGCTACTTTACCTCCGCGTCTTATCATGAACCGCAATGTCATTGCCGCCTCAATCTTTACAATGTGCTCTAATAGTGCTACTAATGTGCTTGAGTATTATTTGCCAACCTACTATCAGGTTGTACGCAATCACCCTCCCAGCGCAGCAGGTTATATGATGGTGCCAATTGTTATTGGCTCTACCATTGGAATGTTCCTCTGCGGATCTGGAACCAGCATAATTGGTTACTACACGCCATTCATGCTCTTTTCTTCCACCCTGCTGCCTATCTTCGCGGGTCTAATAACAACCTTTGGAGTTGATACAAGCTTTATACGACTTATTCTGTACCCTGGCGCATACGGCTTCTCAAGTGGAGTGGGCTTTAACGCACCAATTAGTGCTGTACAGACAGCACTACCCGCTGATGATGCCTCACTGGGCTTATCTATTGTGCTCTTTGCACAGCACTTTGGTCCTTCTGTGTGCGTTGCCATAGCTCAGGTTGTTTTCACAAATAAACTCTCAGCCAACCTGGCCCGGGTAGTCCCGGGGTTGGATCCTGCGACTATTGACTCCAACGGGCTGTCGGATATTGTGGGACGTGCTCCCCCAGGTCAGCGCGGAGTGGTTCTTGAGGGTGTTGGTAGGAGCTTTGGTGAAACTTGGTATCTAGCTGTTGGACTGGCATGTGCGACGTTGATTGGGAGCTTGCTCATGGAGTGGCGATCCGTCAAGGCAAAGAATGCTTAAGCGATTAGAGACGGCGTCAAGACTATCTTACAGCTTGAATACAATCACCAAGTCCTTGGATTAGGGCCTCTAAATTCTCTCTATCGTATCATTCCAAGGCAACATCAGAACTATCAGTATCTCATGACTGCCGGATTAGATGAGAGGAGACGCTCACGTTCGCCAGGAATATAGAGACGTGGCCCATTCCGCCCCCAACGTCGACAATCTTTCCACCGGCAAACCCGGCCCAATTGTAGCAGTCACGGAGACTGATCAGGCCTCTATCAAGTGTCACACCCACCATAACAACCGCCGCAGCGCATAAAAACAGACCAGCCGTCAGGAGATATTGCAACCCAATCCACGCTCCTCCAGGCGCAATCCGTAGTTAAATGCGCCTGCGAACGCTGGACCAGCTACAACGCCTCCAATCCCTTGCATGGACTTGCAAGGAGGCGACTGTGGTATTCAGCAGGTCTATCTGAGCCTCCGAAACCAAATCGCTGGCTACACTGCGCAGGTACGTCCCATTCTTCTCATTCACGAATAATAATAAATACTTGTTGTCTTTTATTGTCTTCTTCTCTACCTTTCCGTTCTTCTGTCAAGCAAACTCAACTGATGTCTTTCCTATCTCACAGGTTTCCACGAAGCTCACCTACAAACATTGGTCAACGAGATCCGGAGGCAAGCAGACTTCTTCATCGAGATTGTCAACCTGAATTTCTTGGATAAACCATATGTGTGTGCTGGTGATCTTCGAAGCATGGATCTTTTACAGCGTGTATGCGATTCCCGTCAACCCCCTGCCGAGCCCTCCAGAAACGCCCGAGGATTTCCAACCGCTGGTGGCCAAACACATATTCGCCTATACAGACCGAGTCATCACGGATATTGGACTGAAGCGGGGCAGTGCTACAGTCCCTCTTGATGGAATCGATATTCCTTTCCATAGCTCGTATCTACGTCCCCGCATGGAGGGTTTCCGCCGTGTGCTGCTGGATAATCTGGATCCCCGCCATCTCGAGCTCTCTACACTTGAAGGTCGATGCGTCCCCAACTTGACCGGTAGGCCGTCTTCAATTGGGAGGGACTATTTTGAAGAAGTTTGGAAAAAAGGGGCTCGAACCGTGTGACGAAGGTGCTGGAAAGCTGGGAGGACTGGACGGAGCGAGCATTTCTGTAATTCTCCTTCTATCATTATTTGCCCTCTTTGAAGCTAAGACTGAGTACCGGAGTTATTCATCTCCAAGGCGAATAGTAGGGCGCCTAACTTCAGATCGAGGAAGAAAAAAAATATCAAGTAGAGCACTAGGCCGCACCCATTGGAGAACTCACTGATCAAGATCAAAACTTGTTTGTATATCACCTGGTGAAAGGGATTGCTGACATTCTATATCGGGACTCATGGGATCAGGTCAACACCACCACCATGGTCTATCTTAATGAAGCCTATCACATTTAACAGAGCTTAAAAAATCGGCAGGCAAAGACGGCAAATAGGACATTGGTATTTTGCATAGAGCAACTTTTACGGGACTAGTCGATGTACTGTAAACGTCATCGGCATATGATGACGGTCAGGAAAGTCATGCGTACAGCGTTCGCCACACGCGCATGTTTACAGCTTCAACATGACGAAACTATTGTAGACGGAGAAACGATGTTGGCTCTACAAATGGGTGATAGACCGGCTCACCATAGGGCCATGCTGATCCAGTGGAGTTCTTCAATCTGCTCCGGCCGGGATTCAAAGACCGAGCAGATATGCTCAAATATTCCTAATTCCGGTACTGCCCCATACTCACTCCTCTATATGTCCCGATAATGGTACAGACAATTGATACCGCGGCTCAGATAGGCATGCGTAGCTACGACTCTTCATGATTGCATCTGTGTTGTTCCAGCAACTTTTGTACCATCTCATAGGCCTGTTCTGGTCTCGCGGTCGTTACTCGAGGACAGACACGTCGTAAAAATCGATGAGATCGGTCTGAGAATCGGGATTCGCTTGATGACTGGGGTCGGTAGTCGGTACGTGGTTGTCCTTAGTTGCCTCATCGAATCGCATGGAACAGTTGACTGCATTCTCATCGGGACGTTCCATCTTGTCCTCGTATTCCGAAGGGGGTGGCTAGTCACGGTCAGTCTCAGTCTGCCTCTGCTTTCCGTGCTCGCGCAGCTGCTCGAAAGTCTCAACAGCCCGGTCTCGCGTAACCCCCCTGTCCTTAAGATAGCCGAAGGCCCATCTGCTAAGTATTGGAAACGATGAGACAAATTGAATCGAATGGAATCGATAAGGCCAAGCAGATTCAGGGATGAAAGATGGTGAGATCAGACATATCGGGGCTGAGGCTGCTGAGCTGAGCGGGATCCTTACCTTTGTCAATGAGATAGTGAGTTCGATCAATTAATACTGGCGCCATTTTGTACCACAGATATAGCAAACGTCCGCAGATTATATAGTTAGACAAACTTGCATGCTGTCAGATTCCATGGAACTAATCAAGAACAAATTCAGTGCATCTTATCTTAAATCAATCCGCCTCGTGACTAAAGTCACGTCCCCTGTTGTCTTATCTCCATATGTCTACCCACACATACGGCGATCCTTGATATGTAAAGTGAGTCCATGACAGGCAGAAACAAGATCACATGTAGCAGAGCTCAGAGTTAATCATTCACTAACTTGCTGAAATGTTCTCCTCATACGTTAAAAAGTATCAGGCTTGGCTCATAACCAGTTGCTCCCAGTTCCTGCCTCCCTCTGCCCGCTTCGCACTAATAAGAGGCCATACTACTGTCACCATCATGCGCAACTGTCTCACACCCTCGAACTCGTGAACACCTGGGCGTCAACAATCCCAACAACGTATCTTGCACTAATGCTACCAAGCAGTCCAGCACGCATATCGACGTCCCCAGCCACAGGAACTCTACCTTGGAGCTGTTGAGACCTCCTTCGGGGAGGAAGCATACGCCTAGATAGGAACGATGTACTTGGGTCCTATGAGTCATCCGCTCTGCACTGCTATATAAGACGAGTTACGGTCATCGGCAAAATGAGCATTGGCCTCGCTGAACGGAAATTAGACGATGGGTACCTATGCGGGAGCATTGCAGAACTTGATGGTTAGTCCTCTACGTGACTTGTAGTATCTACGCTAATTGGTCTACGTTTGCGAATAGTACTTGAAGGTGTCGAAGCGTGCAATATCCAAAACACGAGTATGGCTGATGGGGCGCCGTTGGAAACCAGGTCTTTTCCGGGTGATTTAAAGGAGGCTATCAGCGAAAGTATCCTCGGCGTCATAGTGAAACATGAGCTTCTTCCTGAGCTTCTTCCGAATAGTAACAAGAACATGGCAATAAAGGCGATTTATGAAGTGGTCGTCAAGACAGGAGGTCGCGGTTGGCCCTGAGAGCCAGCTACTGTTGCTACTTTGAAGTTATATGAATCAATGCTTCGTGGGTCATTGGATCATGATAAGGTCTTGTCCTTTAGCGTTTGAACAAGTCTACTTAAGGCACAATATAGCTCTCTGTAGGTACATGAAAGCATTCTGTTGTGGGAGGCATGATCTCACCATTCCTTTTTGGGAAGACGTGGTGATGGTGAATGACCACTGAGCAACACTAGCAGTTGTAGAAGAAAAATTTTTTCTTCCTCTTCTCTTCTCTCTCCTTTCTTCTTCTTTCCTTTCCTTCCTCATCACCAATATTCATAACGATAGTACGCTGAAGAAGCCTCTTATCAATATGTCTGCGGTGGTCGAATCCGGTCTTGCTGCATCCATGCATGCGCCACGAGGAGCATCTGGCTCTGGTGGGAAGCGTCCCAGAAAGGGAAACGGAGGTAGGCGTCCACCTGGTCGGGGCCCGAGCAAGGGGATGAAGAAGAAGGAGAAGACGGTATGTCCATGGGGTGGCATGTTCCCTACAATATACTCACTCTCGGCTTTTGATAATAGGAGGAGAAGTGCCCGGCTTGTGGAGAAGAGGGACACAACCTGGAGGAGTGCCGTCTTTACGGCGTTGTCTTCAGAGGTATTGCTCTCGCAGCGGTGCGTTTAATTCTCCCGAGCATTACAAACATTCAATCTGATGGATATGAATTAGACAAGGGCCATTGCTACTCAAAGTAGACGCCCTCCGGTCAGCCGTCGCCACACCGTGGGCATGCCGCAGCAGCACCCTCGTATGAACTCGAGGCAACGCCGCACGGCGCGTCGGCTGGCAGAGCGGCAGCGGCAGCGGCAGCAGCAAGGGCAGCAGGCGCAGGAGCAGCTGGGACGCCAGGAGCAGGCCCCTCGGGAGCAGCTCCCCCAGCAGCAGTCTCCCCAAGAGCAGCGCCCCCAGCACTCAGCAGAGTTGCCAATGCGGCCGGCTCTTCAGGAACCTCCCGAGGGAGCGTCATGGGCTGATCAAATCGACTATGAGGCTGAAAAGAATGCTCAGTGAGAGATTCTTTAATATGATGGCACTGCAATGTGTGATCATCACCTTCGATGGCACTGCAAAAGGGCGCTGCAATGTGTCCTGGTTACCTTTTACGGCACTGCAATGTGTCATCCACACTAATCTATGGACAAAAATCCTGCGCAAGTAGGTGCCTGGTTGTCATCTCTGATGGCCTCCAGGCCTCCAGCGATAAGCTCACACCTCACCGTGGTGCTGGAGTCTAGTAACCTGTTTATAACTATAAACTGGTGAAGCTAAGATGAGCTTACTCTTGTATAGTCTTTAGTTTGTGTCTGAGGACAGATTTCTTGCCTTGTGGTGTAGTCTGTTCAAACCTCTCGTGTGTAAAGCTTGTTCGCAATGTTTACATTTCTTAATGCATCTGGAATATGTTGTAGAGTACAGCTGTGTTTTGTTTGGTCAATTAATGCCTATTTCCCGTTTCGCTTTGACAATCTAAGCACCCCCGTGGTATCTTCGATCTGCTCATACTGCTTCCAATAATTTGAAGATGCCTGCATGTATCATGGCATATACTTCCTTCCTTAGGTACCTTAGTCTATGTGGTTTCTTTGAGATCCGGGCAGAAGATCTCCGCTATTGGCCAAGAGACAGTTAAAAGAACAGAAAACAGAAAAGGAAAAAAATATCTGCCTCGGCTGATCATACTCCGTATTCCATTAGGTCTCTGCCTGGAATGCAATGAGGTACTGATTCTCTTGGTAATTAAGGTGTATCGACATTAATATGCGACCGTTTCAAATAGGAGGTCTAGTTGAATGTACTGTGGAGGACCTCTAACCAATAATTTTCAGTTCGTTCTAGACTGCCCTCTGTTCGTACCTTAATTTTGAGTTTTTCAGATCCTTGAAATGCAGTGGATCCTGAATCGTGTGCTTGCCTTAAGGGGTGGCGCAGAACCGGAGGACCTGGAGGATGAGTTAGATGGAGACTCGGATGAGGGACTTGACTATTTCGCCAGGCCCGTGTTGCAATCCTCGAGTCTTCTTGCAACACACTACACGCGGCAACCATAGTACCAATAACCTCTTCAGAGCCTCCGACTCTTAAACCACTGGTGCATTAACTAAAATATGTACTACCCAATGCCAGCCCCGATGCAGTTCTCACCAGGGACCGGCCTGAAATCTTGATGCAAGTGAGAACATTACCCTCGGGTAGTACCCAAGACCCTCAGTGCACGGAGGGAACAGAGACTACAGGTAGTCGATCTTGATTTCGCTCAACCTCCTTCTCTGCTATCCCGTCTGGTTCATCTTTAGTGAATCTGAATTCTGATCAATGTCCAAGTATCGGACCGCAAATCAAGGACTTCCATAGTTGACTGGTTCCTCTTGCCTAGTTGAATATTGAAGAACTCATCGATGAAAGAGGGGACGGTCCAGCAGTCCAATAACTCGATGTCTTGGGCCGCACCATGACTTACAATGCGAAGTTGAATTCGACTTTGTTATGGTAGGCAACGCTACATTGTGCAAATAATCCGAAACGCAAACCAGCTATAACGGACGGCAGGAGCTGGTCCGCCCAGCTGACGGAAACGCTTGTAAGTCGTCAAATCATTATCATGGCGGACTGATGACCGGATCGCTGACTTTGTTATATCGTCAGGAACTATCCGCTGCCGAGGCAGTTACCGAGACTATACGGAGGCAGGATCGCTCCTTACCACCCAACAAATTCGCGCTTACATTTACCGATTATTGAGATTATGGCTCGGCAGACAAAGACGGCAAATATGGACATGGGTATTTCGGATAGGGACGCTTGTTGCGGAACTAGTCGAAGCACTGTAGATGCCGTCGCCTATGATGACGATATCCACTCTACAAAGGAGAGATAGACCGGCTCACTGAAGGCCCATGCTGATCCAGAGGACTCCTTCAATCTGCCCAGGCCAAGGCTCGATGGTCAAGCAGATGACACTCAAAATATTCCTAATTCTGGTACCGCACCATACTCACTCCTCTATTGGGCTGATGCTCTGATAATGGTACAGAAAATCGATACCGCGGCTCAGATAGGCTCAGTTAAAAGACCTTCTGGACCTGACAATCAGTGGGGTTCGGGAGTTGCGATGGAGCATCTGGCCAAAGTCCTCACAAAGTCAATTGATTCGCGGATCCCTATTCATAGTTTAACTGGATGTCTGTTTTTGGAATAAGATGACCTGGATCACGGAGTCTCCACATCTTCAAAATAGAGTCATAGACCTATCCGAGGCCAAAGAATCAGTTATGACGGCTACAACAAAACCTTGACAATAAAATTCAACGGTTGATGCAATCGCAAAGCTTGCTCTTCTGGGCAAAATGTTTCACTTCTACAGCAAGCCTCGGAAGGATTCCCCGTTCACATGTGGGGTTACATCGACTTGTCAGCCACGCAGCAGCATGATTCGTTCGAACCCCTGTCTGCAATATCGCATCTCGCTTCCTTTTTGCGGGGTACAATATAGTCTCATTGCCCTGTTGTGGTATTGGGGGAATAATTCATGGAACCTACGCAGCTGGGCACAGACATCTTGCGGGATCATGAAGACCGGGGATTCAACAAGGCAAGACGGGGTATAAATTCCCCTGAACAACTTGGCTTCAGCCTACACACGCAGTAGACCATCAACTCATAATCGTCATCCTGAAGTGAAAATGCGGTTCCTCTTCTCCCTCCTCGCGGCCACGGCCCTCGCCAGCGCCATTCCAACAGCCACAATCACCAAACGCGACGCCACAGCCGTCGTAGACGCAGTCAACACCATCGCCAGCCAAATGGTCGTCCTCAACAACACCGTCACTTCCTACGACGGCGGCATCCTAGGCACCATCACAGCCCTCAAGATAGAAATCGAATCCGTCAAGCTCTCCAGCGACCTCAAGGACGCGATCTCCACCACGCAGGCCGCAGCCAACTTCACAAACGCGGAATCGCTCACCGTCGCATCAGCGTTCATCAACCTCGAGCCGCAGATCTTCTCCACGCTGAACAATATCGTCGCGAAGAAGCCAAAGTTTGATACGGGGTTGTTGGGGATCGGATCGTTGGCGTTCCTGGTTAAGGGGAATCTGCAGCAGCAGAAAGATTTGTCGGCGCAGCTTGGGGATGCGGTTGCGGCGAAGTTGGCGCCGTTGTATGCGCAGCTTGCGCCGATGATCAATAAGCAGATTGCGGATGCGTTTGATAAGGCGATTGCGGCGTATAGTTGAGATAGCTGGTCGGGGTTGTGTTGGGGACGGGGGAGTGTGGATAGCCATGTAAATATCTCTCTGTTGTTGCTACTCAATACTGAGGGTTAGCACTGCAATGATACATAATAGGAGGCTATAGGATTCACCTCTGTGGATATATCTTTTAATGTAACCATGGTTTCCTCGTGGGTTCAGAGTTGCGCCCAACTCTCAGCTCCAACACTGGTCACTGATAAGTCTAAATTTGCACCTTTAGGTGGCATCGCAGCTGCCTCTCACACCACTCTTGTACCCAAGATGCCGCATTCCTCTCATTTACGGTGACCTAGTACCGTCCTGTGCCGTGATAATGAAGGTCAGCTAGTGCTAAAGCCATCATGAAGCATCATCAGCTACTCAGTAACTCACACTCCAAGGGAGGTCTCTCACGTCCGATGCGTCACCTTGCATTGTATCCTATCCAGCAGTGAGATTCTAATGGGAGCTGCGGATGGATATCTTCGCGCCTTGTACCATTTCCAGTGGGGAGGTGGTAGTGGAAGGCAACGGACGGCAAAAATGACAATGGACGCTATGGTTCGCAGAGGCTTGACTGGCAGGTAGGCAATTTGCACAGAGATTTTATGTAAGGAGTGAGTGGCATTAATCTTGCAGCGAAACATGTGACTGGGTACTCTTTATTGACGTACCGAAACTACTTCCAAGCTTTGCGACTGTTTGCATCATACACAATATGAGCGGTACCAAGTTACTGCTAAATGCCCATGGCTTCCTATCGGCAGCGCTCATACCGATATTGCGATTGATCCAGCCAGCAAGATTAGATGCAGCTGATTAACCTTATAGAGACGAAAAGTATCATTATCGCAGACTATCAAACTGATAATACAAAGCCGAAATCATAGAATCATTAATCGTGCAATTTCATGGTATCAAAGTCATTCCATCACAAAGGATCAAGCATTAAAATATCATTCTCATCCAATACCGTCACTTAGTAACCACGCTGAGTTCCCATGGTGCCTCTGTTGTCCAAGTCGGAATCGACACGAGGGTCGAGCTTGTTGGCGACGTTGGAGCTATGAGGACCAGCCGTGGTTCCAGCACCAGTACCAACGCCAGTGCCAGTGTAGCTGCTTCCAGCTGGTGCAGTGCCAGTGTCGGTGCCAGTGCCAGTACCCAGACCACGGTTATCCCGGTCACTGTCGACGCGTGGATCAAGCTTGTTGGCAATGTTGGAGTCGTGCGGTCCGGCGGTTCCGCCCATGGCGGCGTGACGGGCGCGGTTGTCCGCGTCGGAGTCAACCCGTGGGTCGAGCTTGTTGGCAATGTTGGAGTCGTGAGGTCCGACGTTGGAGCTGCCGCTGCCGTAAGTGTCGCCAGCGGCAGTGCCTGTGCCGTAGCCGCCGCCGCCGGTAGCGCCACGGTTGTCCCTGTCACTGTCCACACGAGGGTCTAGCTTGTTGGCAATGTTGGAGCCGTGGGGACCAGCACTGGTGCTCGTATTTTCATAAGTGTTCTTAGATCCATAGGTGTTGCTAGTGGTTTCGTAGGTGTTCTGGGTACCAAAGGAGCCAGAAGTTGGGTTTCCACTGGTTCCGGAGCCAGCAATGGGGTTTCCAGTTCCAGAGCCAGCAGTGGGGTTTCCACTGGTTCCATAGGAGCCAGAAGTGGGATTTCCACGGTTGTCTGCGAGAGTCAGATGCCTTGCAGAGGCAAGAAGTCAGAAGGAAAGCATACCTCTGTCGCTGTCTACACGAGGGTCGAGCTTGTTGGCAGTGTCAGTTGTGTGAGGGCCAGCAGTACCTCCCATGGCCTCAGTGCGAGCGCGGTTGTCTAAACAGTAAGAAGGTTAGTTCTGATCTTTTGTCATTATTCCATACCGGTGAACATACCACGGTCGCTATCGACCCGAGGATCGGCCTTGTTGGCAGCCTTGGTATCATGGGGGCCATTGTTCGTTGTGCTGGATTCAGCATGGTGTTCACCATGGTGGCCACTCAAGGCCTCCTTCACCTTGTGCATCATGTGGGACATCTTGTAGAAGACTTGCAATGTTTTGTATTCAAATCGATAGGTGTAGTTTTGTTATGGATTGAGTTTGTTTTGTTATAGACTGTAGATTGGTTCAAATGGTCTTAAGACGACTTCTCAATCCTTTTATAGAGCCTTTTCCTCCACGATCGTGTTTGGGGGATTGACGTCAAGCCCGGGGACAGTTGTGGTATCCCTGAAGAGTGGCGAGGAGCGATGCCGTCATCTCGCGGTCATCGTGCGGAGAGTCAACCACAACAGGCTGCACATTATCATCAGTGGATCAGTTTCAGCCACATGTCCAGATCGGTACCTCTTTAGTGAATTTCATAAATCTGGTCGTCAGCTTTATTGATGGAAGAGGGAGCATGCATCTCAGTATTGTTGAAGCTCTAGCTCTCTAATGGTAGGGTATCCACCAGGTTGCAGATCAATTGCGTTGCGCAATCCAGCACCACTGATGATATAATTATCCCATTGTACAGTCAATTAGCTCCCTCAAAGTTCATACAACTATCTATCTCAGCGTAAAAGCAAGACCGTGGTTCTCGAGMGATTCGTGATTCGATGGATATCATGCTTATGATCTCAGTGCATCCGGTGGGCGTGGCAGCTCGTGACTATTCCAGTTGGGATCGAGAAAGTTAATTGCAGCTTAAGCTGCTGGTCATCCCAATCTGATAATGTCTTCTACCAACGAGTAGCCGTTTGCTACTCCGTGCATACAAGATAGGGTTGTAGCCTTGTAAGACAACTATGACTTGGAAATGATGTCGGCGGTTGGCCACGGCAGGCAGTGATCGGCATTACCCTAGGCACACAAGATGTCATTTCTCTTGGCAGGCAACAAGAACATAATCTAGATCTTGGATAAAGTACTGTATTTAGTAGCGGTTGCTGTGATGAGGAAGCATAGGATGTCGCGATTTCCCGCCTGTACTTGCTTGCTACTCAATAGCAACACGGTCTAGACCAGCATATAGTTTAGTGATTTATGTCAATAGTAAACTTCATCTAGTCCTTAAAGAAATATGACTATGCAATCAGCACCGCAATTGTTATGTTTTTCAAATGGTTGATATTATTACTCGCGTCCCCGGAATAGAACGCGTGGAGCTGATCAAGGTTGATATAAAGGTACTTTAAGAGGCCAGCTATTACATAAGGAAACTTGTCATAGTTTTATCTGATGTGAAGCATCTTCATCGTTGGTTAATGCAATTAGATACATAAATTAGATATACACGACTAATGTATACATACTAGAACTCAATTCGAGCTCTTACTTGTTTGGCCTCTTCCTTTTTTGCAGCCTGGGGCTATCTATCCACTCTCCGTGGGACTCCTCTCCACTAAATCTGACCGGCTGAGGCCAGACCAGAGTATTGCCAAATATCCGCACAGGTCAAAGGTGCGATTCAAAAGCGGGGTTGCCGTGTTCAAGCTTTCGTCATTGTCGAAATTCAGTTCTGGTTTTCGGCAATCGGAATGTTGTATGTGTCTGATGGGGCCAGCTCTCGTAGTCAAAGACTTCCGAGTTCGACAAGCCGAAACCCGTCCGGAGGATAGTTAGTCTGTAGGCGGGAATGGTGTGGCTTGGCTCCCTGCTGTTCTTGATGCTCCTGCTCGAGCTGCCGCTGTTTCAGCCGACGTGCCTTGCGACGTTCCCTCTAGTTGGGTCCGTCCATACGAGGACCCTTCTGCGGGCCCAGGGGATGGCGATGAGCACGGACCGGAAGGCGGCTACTTTCAGTAGCGAGCACCCTAGTCTGATTCAGATCCATTAGATTGAACTGTGTATGATCGGGATAATCCAACGCACTGTGCGACAAGAAGACCGCCGTAAATACGGCAGGCCTCCTAGTTGTGTTCGTATTTGAGACACGCCGGGCAGTCCTTTCCCTAATATCAAAAGCCAAGAGTAAGTATATTCCTACGTAGAAGATGCCACTCCAAGGACATACCTTCTTCTTCTTCATCACCTTGCCCGGTCCCCTATCAGGTGGACGCTGACCCCCATTGCCGCGATCGGGGCGTCTCCCACCGGAGCAAGATGCTCCTTGCGGCGCATGCATGGATGCTAAGTAACCTTGGACCGCCGTACTCATATTGAATAACCTTGCTTGTTCAGCGATACTATCATCACGTTGTTCTTGGGGAAGCGGGGACATTCTCCGGTCCAGTCCGGCCGGTGCGGAGCTGCTACCCAAGAACGGGAGCTATTGAAGGGGCAACCACCCTCGGCGATGGCCAGGAGGCCACCAGCTGGAAGAACAGTAAAACTTCAGTCAGCAATGCTACCACCACTAACATGACTCGACAATTGCCCAGCAATAACGTACATGTCAGCGGAACTATCCCATGTCCCATTCTTGCTGAGAAGATAGGAGCACCTGGGCTGCTTGAGCTGGCCATAGCTGATGGCATCGATGTAACGAGAGTAAGAAAAGCTTTAAGACGTGCAAAAAGGGAGTTTGAGATGATTCAAGCTTCGTTCGATGTGTAATAAAGCTATCCTAGAAGATGTTGAGAGGTAGATTGTTTTATTGTGCATTGAGGTAGTTTGCCTTCCGATATAATCTCAGGGTATCCATGAGATATCCACTAGCAGCTTTGCTAGAGGATAGTGAATTTCATAGTCCATATAAAGAATAGAGTGAAGGTCTCCCCCTGCTATATGTCAAGCCCTGTTTTAGAACACTGGGATGAATGGCTGTAGTAGTTCTATTCAGAATAGTGAATAGAGGAAGCTTCTTCCTCTGCATCCATCTCAAGAGATTGATGAGCTCAGTCAAGGTAGATGATTAATGTTCTTACATCCAGGATCTTCAGCGCAACATGCATAGTTTTACTTATACCACGTGTATGATGACCATTCCCTTACTGAATTGCTTGCCTGGGTGTCTAGCACCGTGAAATGCACCGCAGAGGCACTGTTCCAGCTTAAGGCCGCGCTGCACCTCAAAAACATGAATATGTGACTCAAATGCAAGACGTGGAACTGGGCTAAGGAGCTCGCCAAAGCAAAAAGCGCTGAATAATGTATTTGGACTGGGTTAGTACGTACGCTGTCAGACAAGGAGAAACTGCCCTACATTCAAGCCCTGATAGCGGATAGAATGAAAATACGAAGACTTCAAGCTGCCATGTAGTTTAGTAGCAGATAATGGATAGCAACCATGCAAACCAGGAGGCTAAGGAATTAAGGGATTACTCACATAACCTCCAGATTTCGCAGCAAGTTACAGACTCTATGAGGCTATTCAACTTTTTTTATGCAATAAATTACCAGCCATATCGTGAGACATTTCCTTACCTGATCCGAGGCGCTTCGTGATACGACGATCCATAGGCCCATGGTTCTCCTCGTAGATCCGACCAAAGTGCTTGCTATACCAAGCCACCGCACGCTCGTCATCAGAGTTATCAATGATGTCGTTCTGGATGTCCAAGTATCCCACCATCATTGATACCCATGCCTCCAGCAACGAGCCCCATATTGAGTGCCCAAGACTCTCCTCATCTATCGCTGCTTTGACAAGACTTTCTATAAGTGTCTCCTCGTCAGGATACCATATATTCCCGAATACGTCATAGTGAGCAGCATCGGCGAATTGACCCGCCGTATTAGGTTCTAGTTTCAGATGCGCAAATGAATTTGGGATCAGGACAACTTGTTCCGTACGCTCGCGGCAACGTGCCGGATAGTTAAAGGTCGTTGAGGATCCATCTAGATGTTTGTACCCGCTGTTAATTTGTTGTAGGACCCTCTCGGGGTCGCGATATTCGGCTATAGCTCCGGGACGAGGGCCACGTTTCGGAGTCGAGATAGTGAATCCGGAATCCGAGAGTTTTTTGATCGCTGACTGGTAGTCTCCATCTCGAACCACCAGCATATGGACCTAAGTTTAATGACTACAGTTAGCACCAAGTAACCACAGTATGACATCGAGTTCTTCTTACCCCAACAACCATTAGAACACCAAGATGAGCCATTGCAAGGGCTCCCCATGCTGCAACGGGCACAGGCTGTAAAGAAGATACTGGCAGCGACGCTGCCGGGTTCGCAATCACTTGCTTAGGGTCTCTGAACATTATGGCAAGCTTCAAGATTAAGCCCAGATTCTGTTGATTTGGACGGCGACGAATTGCTTCTGGCTGTAGGAAATGCGCCTGGGAGACCTTTCGTACGGATGACGTGAGAGGGTATGGGATTGACGCTGGTAAAAAAATTGTTTAGTCACCCGCGTGCATTGTCCATAGAATGAATCATAAAGTTATCATTCGTAGCGACTGTATTGAAGACTCATATGGAGGGATATCAATCAGGGTATGGCCTGTCTAGCTGTTGGTGCAGTATGCCATTTTTCGCGCGAACATGTCCTCACGGGGGGTCTTGTTGGTTGGTTGTAGCTTTTTCTCTCAGTTGGATATTTATTTCAATGGAGTAGAAGGATATTTACCTAGGAGACATGCAAATATGTTAGTAACATGGTAGGGCCATACCATTCCTATGGAGAGAAGAGGTTGAATACTCCTTTATCCCTAACCTAAAGACCTGCCGTTGCTCCTACTCCTCATGTTGATAAATACTAATCAAATTTTCATAAGGCCTTGGTGTCTTTCCTTTTCTTTTCTAGTACTCAGGCCCTCGCTCTTTCTCACTGAGGCAGATTTGAGCCAGCCTGAGCAGATCACCGAGTTCAGATGAGACTGACGGACCCAATCCGCAAATCCATATCCAACCCACCTCCGCACCTTGGATTGGACCTCGGTAGGCCCTGATCCAACCCGCAACTAGCAACTAAATGAGTTAACCATACCAAACACACATGGATATGGATAACCAATCAGGTGCACCTGAGTCATGACCTAGGGCCCTTTAGAACTGATAAGCTTATCCGACCTTATGCAGGCCTATATAGGGGTATATTTTTATATCTATAGATGGAGAATAATGATATCTATCTTTATAACAAATAAAATATTAGGTCTACTAAGGAAAAAGTAGAGTTATGGGAGATTTTAAATTTTAGATGGTAGTGGTCAGGATGGTAATGGTATGATTTATCTCCGCACCACTGTCAAGACTCAAGTGTCACTGTCAACTTTTCATCCCAGCCTTACGGGTCTACCTAACCCCCGTAGCTAAGCCCAATTTAGCATATCTAATAGGTAATATATAATATTTATATAAGTAATTATTATATTATTAAATAAATATATAGATATCCCAGTGGTGTGAATAGAATACTAGAAAAATAAATGGTAATTAGAATACTAGGGTCACCTGATGGTGTGGATATATCCCTTGCATGGGTTGGATTTACCCAATCCCCGACCATCCAGTTCAGGTTGTCAGCAGGAATAATAAGTTCTTCCACTCCGAGACATCTCTGGTGTTTATTCCCCCTGAGGAGCACGATCAATTCCTATTCTCAACAAAACCTGGTTCAAAAAAAAGGCATACTGTGGAATGATGATAACAATAAAAGAGTTTTCTTTTGATCTTAGTAATGTAAGTATATCACCCTTGCATTTGCCTTCCCATTATAAACATGTCATAGCCTTCCAAACGGAACATTCGACAATATGTCTATGATTTGTTATCATCTCCTTCTCCTGTCAACGTTCGTTATGCTCGTTCAATGGAAGATCAAGCACGACCTATTGTGACACATCATGAGATTCTGAATTCTCATGACCTATGCCCTCACCGAGTCAGTGGCTGCAAAATACTGGAGATCACCGAATCGACGATCTTGAAAGTGGGCCTTACAGTCACCATGGGAGAAGCTGAGGCTATGATACTCGCCAGAAACTCAACATCAGTCCCTGTCCCAGAAGTACTCAATGCTTATATGATTGAAGATATTGGATTTATCTTAATGAGGAAGATATCCGGTGTTACTCTTCAGGCTTGTTGGGAAAATCTTTCTGAGGATTCGCAACAATTCATTGTGGACCAACTCCGAGGCTATATTCATGAATGGCGCAACATTGAAGGCACTTTCTTTGGGTCTATAGGCCAAGGGCCCTGTCAAGATACCGTCTTCATGCATCCATGGGGAGAAAAGAATTATCAGTATGGGCCATTTCAAACACGGAAGGAATTTAACCAAGGTGTTGTTGAAGCGCTTAAGAACGCAAGACCTGGCGGGCAGCTAGTCGATGAGGATGACTACCGCCTAGCAGAAGAGATTCTTGCATCAGGGGAGAATGGGCAAGATGAGAGGAAAATCTTGACTCATGGTGACCTACACCCCACTAATATCATCATCAACGATGGTAGGGTAGCTGGGATTATTGACTGGGGCGCAGCTGGATACAGTATTGCGTCAAGGGAATACTTCGGTTTGATTTGGATGACGCCGGATTCGTCATGGAGAAAATCTGCATCTACCATTCTGCCCTCAGATGAGTATGAGTTTTGGGCTAAGGTGAATTATTCCATGACTCAATACACAGGCATCTAAGTACGTACATAGTTCTGCCACTGCCTGCCTTCTTCCTCTCAGTCTGAGAGAAGCTCATGGATGGCGTTTTCAAAGGACAATCCAACTATTCCCACAATCTTTTTCAAGCTCCTTTGACGTCATCCCAACTCTCTTGCTCCATTTCTCAGCAGTTCCAGACTCAACAAGCTCCTCTGCCTCAAGAGAAATCAATGCGTCGACTGTCCAATCCTGACATCTCCGTTTTCCGTCCCTGGGGGCTGGCTCTTTCTGAATGACCTTGATGGCCTCCAGCCGCTTCTTTGCATCCAGAACAGCGATGGTGCACATCCCAACTGCTTGCTTGGTTTTAATTGAGGTTGCTTCACGACAGGCAGGTTGATACCACAGCCTTTTTATATCGATAAGCTGGACGTGGTAGAGGTCCCCGAAATCGTCCTGGGGTTTATGGAAAAGAAAACCCCAATGGCATCGGTTATTAGGGTCTTCTCCGTATCCAAATACTTCAATGCAGAGATGAAACGCCATGTCCTTGGTAAAGCGAACTTTGCGTCATTCAGCTGGAGTTCCTTGGGATGGGTAACATTGAACACTTACCTTTAGCTATATTCTATGGTGAATGTAAAAGCGATGTGGAAACGAAGAATACTAACATCTCTGGAAGGGGTCGCCGTCCTTTTATGCTATCTTCTGGCTGCGAGATTGGATATCAGCTTCTATTGTGCTATCTGCCCCCATGCTAGTCGCGCGCCTATACTGAGAGAATGAGCCAATAGATTTTACCAGGCTCTCTCAGAGAGGTGGAAGGGCAATAGATCGACATGCAGCCTGAGCGGCAAGCAGTTTAAGCCTTGTCCGTACAGCTACACGTACGCGACTACATAGAGTACATGATTGGCTCAACTGGTCCCAGCCATGATTACTCCCAGCGCTTGCGTATTTCTATATTAGCGTGTTGTTTCATTATATGACAGGATAGATACTAACTTAAGAAAGATTTGAGAAACCAAGAGATTTCGTAAAATACGTTATAGGATCAAATGACCGTTACCCAAGGACCATTTGTCCCAGGATCTTCTTCCCAGGATTCTTTGTTTCCAGGCCAATCATTCCTGGTAATCTGGCGAGCCAAAAAAAACAACAACTTTGACGCAGAATAAATTCTTGAAATTTCTCGCCCAAATCAACCCCTTTTAACCCCAAAATTTGCCCAATTTCTTATAACGTCGGCAGCTTTTGAACAAGCCTAATTTTATAGGCCCTTAATTACCATGTCATCATTGAAGCTGGGGTGGCCGCCCCTGATGGCCTCCCATGGCAGCAAAAAGGGGCTATAGAAAACTCTGCATAACTGTATCTTAGACCTTCACCATAATATGAGCATCTATTTAAACTATTTAAAGGTTTATAATTAAGGAATCCTAAAGCCTCTTATTAAGCTCATCACTAATATATATGCTGTTATTAAGGAGGTCCTGAAAAAACCCCTAGGTGATGACTAGAGGAAGGCAGTTATTAACCTCTATAAGATTACTCTTAATATTAAGAAGAATATTACCTCTACCCAGCACATTTTAACTACTTAATCTATCCCTATATCTACTAAGGTTTACTTATATACAGCTACTACTGCTGGGGCGCCACCCCCTAGCTATATAGTCTCCTCCTATAGCTTAAGTAGCCCTGGGGTCACCCCCTTAGAGCTGGGCAGGGATCATAAGGTTATTATTAAACTACTAGATGCTAGTGTAGTGAGCATGTTCTGATATCTGAAGGTAGTAGAGATAAAGAATAGGGCTGAGAAGGCCTGTATAAAGGCCTTAAAGGAAGCTATAGTAGCTACCCTTATATCTATTAAGTTTATAGCTACCTACTAGCTTAAGTTAGGTAACTTAAGCCTTAGCCTATAGACTACCTAGCAGGCTAAGATCATATGCTATTACCCTAGCTAGGCTAAGTTATTCCACTAGAGAGCTATTATTTATCTACTAACTTAGGGTATGGTGGTTCACAACATCTAGGTTAAATTAATTAGTAATCTAGTAGACCCTAAGGAGGCTAAGTAAGTTGCTGACTAGCTACTAGCTAAGAACTAGTTCTCCTAGGGAGAGGCTAAGATTATCTACCTTACCTAGCTTATAAATTAGCCTGCTAATAAGAAGTCCTCTGCCTTAGTAATTAAGTTTTCTACCCCCTAGGCTGCTAATAAAGCTATTAATAAGGGAACTATCTAGGATTCTATTATACTAACTATAGTCTTATATAACTAGTCTACTTATATCTGCTGGTGTTTTAACTGCTAGCAATATAGCTATATAGGAAGTATCTATTCTAATAAAACTATCTATGGCCTCTATATAGGCAGCTATGAGACCTATGACTGCCCACTATGATAGGCCACTGCTAGCTAGGAGCTATAAAAGTGTGCTAATTACAGGGATGTATATACTGCCTAGTCTAAAGGGTGTAAGAAGTATATAGAGGAGGTGGATAAGGTGCAGGCAGCATCCTATTATTACTAGTAATACTACTGTATTCTACTATATCTATAAGACTTCTAATAAGACTCTAAGAGTAGTAGCTTAGATTCTATAACTATACTAAGTACTTCTGCCTCAGCATCCACCCCTATAGATATAGATGCCTTAGTAGAGGACTCCCTAATATAAATAGAGGGATCTGAGGGAATAGAGGGATCTAGGGAATCTACTATAGCTAAGAAGACCACTAGACCATCTAAGAGGTCTAAGAAAGTGAGATCAGAGCTATCCTATAAGCAGCCACCCTGTAGGCAGGTGCCTATTATAACATCATCCCTGATATTACTATTAGATCAGAATATTAATAATATCTTATTTACCCTAATAGCGCCATACCCTAAGGCCTTATCTATATCCATAAAGAAGAAGGCCTTAACTAGTTAAACTAGCTCTACTAATTAAACTAGCTCTACCACCTCCCACCACTCTGCTTAGATTATTAACTATTTAAATAATATTAACCTGCTAAATCTGACTAGTAAAGATAATAATCACCCCCTGAAGTAGCTATAGAACTAATAAACTACTACCATGTGTGGGACCTACCTTAATATATATTAAGATGATGCTACTATTAATAATATCACTATTAATAATAAGAATAGCTGTACTGAGCTCCCTAATACCCTAGAGAGCAACTGGCAACCTAGCTTAGTACTATAAGATAAGAATACTAATACTAATCCTAGTACCTGTCCTAAGAAGAAGAAGCAGAAGTAGGGGTTAGATACCTCTATATAACTAGAGAAGGACCCCTAGATTAACTTCTCTATAGGGATGCCCTAGTTTACTAGTAGCTATTAAAAGAGTATATAGAATATTCTATACTGTGCCTATAAATAGAATATTCTAAATTCTGTAATATAATGTGCACCACTCTAAAGATGTAGTGATAGCTTAGTTTTTATATAATCTAGAGGTCCTAAAGGCTAACATCATTACTATCTAAGAACCCTAGGATAATCTATTCTAAGATACTATCTACTACCCTGCTAAGGTAACTTACTAGTTACTTTATCCTAAAGTAATAAAGACTAGAGGCCATACCTATATCTACCTCTATATCTCCTGTAAGATAGATTTTAATAAATAGAAATATATAGCCTACTCACAGGACTGCTAGGAGCTTAAGCTATATTATAATACTAGGACACTCTGCCTATATAATATATATAATCTGCATCTAGATACTAATACCTAAGCTAGTACCTAAACTAGCACCTAAACTAACACCCTTAACCTTCTGGAGTAGGTCCTAGATTAATAGGACAGCAGCTGCCTGCTCCTGGGAGATTTTAACCTTTACTATCTAGCCTAGGGTGGTGATTATGTCTACTATACTAACCCTAGGTCTGATAGGCTACTTAAGCTAACTAACACCTGGCTTCTAGATCTTTGGACAGAGCCAGGAGCTATTACTAAGGATAAATAAGGACACTAATTAACTATTAACCTAATATTTAAATCTATAGATTTGATAGCCTATCTTATAGCCTGTAAGGTGGCCTTTAATATCTATACTAATTCTAACTACCTACTAATTTATCTACTACTTAATATCAGCACACCACCGCCGCAGACCCCAAAATGATGTAATTAGAAGGCTATGGATGCGCAAAAACTCTATAAATTTATAGATATAAATATTAACCTATACTAATGGTCTAAAGACCTTAAAATACCTTGCTAGATTAAAGATACCACTAACTTTCTTAGTAAGATTATCTAATAAACTATTACCTACTCTATACCATGGGCCCACCCTTCTAAATAGGCTAACCCTAACTAGACGCCTGAATGCACTAAGATAGTTAAATAAATCTATCTCTACTAATAAATCTACACTAATATACATAATAATAATGACTAGATTGTGTACATAAAGGCCTGTAACTATAAAGGGAAAGTTATCTCTTAATCCCTATAGTATGGCTATTATAAATATATATAATAGACTATTAACTAGGGCCCCCATGATATATAGCGCATTGCTAAATGGGCCTGAAACTATAAAAGCTAGGCAGGAGTCATCCCTACCCTTTACTATAGGAGCTGCATTATAGAAATAGTAGAGTAGAAAGTTAACCTACTCTATGAGGCCTTCTTCCCACTACCCCTATCTGCTAATCTCTTAGACATTAAAGGTAGAATATATAACTAATTATAGGATATTATCTTCCCTAAGATTAATAATAAAGAAATTATTAGAACTATTAAATAGGCGCCTCCTAAGAAGGTGCCTAGACTAGATGCCATCCCTAATAAGGTCTAGTATGCCTTAATAGTAATTCTAATATTTATCTAAGTAGTTAAGACCCTATTTAATACCTATATCTATATTAGCCACAACCCCTAATACTTCTAGATATCTACTATAGTTATTCTTTATAAGGTAGCCCCCTAAGACTTCTACCTTCTAAAGTCCTACCACCCTATTGCTCTGCTTAATACTCTAGGCAAGGTCCTAGAGTTAATAATTAC